CGGAGCAGCTGGCCCCTTCAGCCCGGCCGTCTCCACGATGCTCCCGTCCGTGTGCACGACAATCAACGTGGCCTTCTCGGTGTTCAGGCTGTCCCCGATCTGCAGTGCCGTCCTGCCAGACTGGAAGAAAGAACCTCCCCTAAGTCGTCTCAGACAACAGCTGCAGGGCCTGTTCGCCTGATCCTTGCTCACCATCACCAACAAGGGCACCGACCGGGATTCCGAGGCCTCTTTCAAAGACGCCCCTAAAACACCTAAACACAGAGCCAAGAACAAGAAAGACAATGCTCTGGGAGGCCCTGAGCAAATGCTCACAATCGCCTGCCACAGGGAAAAAATAACCACGTCCCACAAATACACCCTGGAAACAGGAAGTACCCTCACGTCTACCTGAGCAGCCTCTGCAAGTTCACAGGTTTCCAGGGAGGGTTCTGATAGACAAGTCCACACTCACCGCCGGGGTCTGGGGCAGGATTCCCTTTTCATGCCCATGCCCCATGCACAGCTCTACCGATGGCCACCAAACACCAGGACCTCCCCAACCACGCTGCTCACACACCTGTCCACGGTGGCCAGGGGCTGCCATGACAGCACCCACTTCCTCTGGGCCAGCCTGGCCTCACCCTTAACCAACTGAGCCACCCAGGCGCCCCTAGCCTGGCCTCACCCTTCAAGCTGCCCTGCTCTCCGGGAGAGCCAGATGCCCCTCTCCCATCCCTGCTGGCCCTAGGCGCACACCTCACGGGGCTCTGGCAAACAAACTCTCAAGGCTTTTCCCAGACAGCCCTGGGGTAGATGACACTCACTCCAAGCGGCCTGTTCAAACCAACATCCTGGGGTGCTCTGATGCTTTCATGGTGAGAACAGAACCCACGAAGACAAAGTGAAAAGACCTCTCCTTACATCTGAAAATCAAATCAGGGGAAGGGAGTACCAGCTCATTGTGGAGTCTAGGGACCTCCACCCCACGAGCATACACACACACACACATGCACACGTGCACATACACCCAGGTCCTGGGCTCATACACCTGGAGAGTCATTGCCTCAGTAAGCATATCAACACCGCTCATGTCTGAATCACTGAACACAAGCAACTCTACTGGAAAGAGGGAACGTTCTGTATTCATTTACAGATCACAAAATTAGGGGCGCCTAGGTGGCTCAGATGGTTAAGCGTCTGCCTTCGGCTCAGGTCATGATCCCAGGGTCCTGGGATCGAGCCCCGCATCGGGCTCCCTGCTCGGCGGGGAGCCTGCTTCTCCCTCTCCCACTCCCCCTGCTTGTGTTCCCTCTCTCGCTGTGTCTCTCTCTGTCAGATAAATAAATAATATCTTAAAAAAAAAAATTAAAAAAAAAATCACAAAACTATTTCCTCATTAAGGCCAACGAGAATACCCAGACATTTGAGACCCGGATCACACTAAGTCTGCGGGTCTTCCTGTCCTCAGAGCCCACTGCCAGCACTGAACCCAGGAGGCTGCACCCCAGCTCCCTGACCCTCTGGCTCCAGTCCTTTCTAGAAAAGAAGACAAACCAGAATCTGCTGGGAAGGAGAGACCAGTTGGAAGCATGAAGCTGTCAGCTGGCTATCAGCTCATATGCATTCTGACACCCTAAGAAATAAAGCAAGTTTCTGAAATCTGTAGTCTGCTATTATAATTAAGAGCACGAGTTTTCTGTTTGTTGCCATGCCAACGACAGTAACTTTGCTTCCAGGGATATAGTGTCCCAGGTGTGTGGCCAAGGCTAGAGAGAAACCGTAACTAAGAGCTGTGGCAAAGCTCCAGGAGAGTCCTCCATTGTGCGGTCATCTGGCCAGGACCCGCAGACAGGAGCACAGCCTGAGGGCAGAGCACAGCCACACCCCTCAGGGCACCCAGGGAACCCAGAGCAGGCCTCTGGGACAGCCAGGCTTAGGGAAGACGCCCTCTGGGTTCTGGGGAAAAGTGCTCGTAGGGCAGCTTACCAGAACATGTCCCGAGAGGGAGGCGGCATTCGCCACGGACGTGGTGAAGACGTTGTCTGCGGAGGCGCCCACGTTGGCCACGGTCACCGTGGTCACCTCTGCAACACAGGAGCCTGATTCAGCATACCCTCAGAGCTGGGGGCCTCCCACTTGGGCCCCAAACCACGTCTCTCCATCAGTTATCTGCACTTCCAACCAAGGGACTCTCAACGTTTGTACACTAAGTGCTCACTCAATACTTCTAGACCACAGGCTAGGTGATCTGGGTCTTAGAAAAAGAGAGAGGAAAGGCTCTCCGGGCACTAGAGCCTTTTTCATTCGCAGTGAAAACCCGCCCCGCCACGCTCCCACTGAGCCGCCCCTGGGCTTCTTGCTCCCTTTTAGGAGAAAACCACACACCAAGGCTCCACGCATCCTGGATCATCCTGTGATCAGACACCCGCCGTGTCACTGACACACAGTTCCCTCCCTTCCTGGCCCCCCTCTCCAGGTCAGCACAGGGCAGGCTCAGGTCCCTTCATCGTCCTCTTCCCCCCCTCCCCCTCTCCTGCTCACTGCCCGCAGCAGAGGCTTTCCCTTCCCTCTCCGGGGCTGGGTCACACAGCGCTCTAGAATGGCCCATGCCTGGGGCAGCCTCTGGCACACGGGAAGTGCCCCACAAACACTGGCTGAAAGAGTCCTGCATATTCCACGAAGCCAGCGCCCCCCACACTCCACTGAAACACCTGTCCCCCGTCTGTGTCCTCCCCTAGACCACACCCAGGAGTGCCAAGGAGATCCCCGCCTGAACACACTGGACTCGGCCAAGTAGCTGTCTGCCCAGAGGAGGTGGCCTCAGATGGGCAACACATCCCGCTGAGTTACTTCCACCTGGAAATTACCTGACCTCAGGAACTTAGAAAAGTTGTAATGCTTTCAAGTATGCAAAAACACAACTATAAAATTTTGCAGGAAAAACAACTCATTTCTCTGAGGCTGTGATGACTGGTATCACATTTCTTTTCTGCATCCAGAAAAAACGTTATGCAAAAAGCACAAAAAACTGAAGAAAAACTTCATGGTCCAAAATCCCAACATTAAACCAGTTTGGCGAAAAGAACAGAGGCTCTAACAGCCACAAAGCCTTCTTCCCTCAATCGTGAGGACCCCAGGCAGACCACAGACCAGCAGCACTGGGGCAAGCAGGACCTGGCCTGCACCTGAGGGCCGGATGAACACCTGGAGTGACCAGGACCACGAGGATCGAGGAGGCTGCTGCCCAGTCCCCAAACCTGGGAGCCCCTTAGGGGAAAGTGCCTGACAACGCCTTGATGACGCTCTGCCAGGGTCCCACGCACAACTCTGAGTCCTCGGAGGCCTCCAGCGCCACTGGGGAGCACAACACCTGGGAAAGTCTCTACCATCTTTGGGTTGGCAGTCTGGGGAGACAGACAGGGACCGACCAGGAAGGCAATCTGAGGAGTCAAAGCACGATGGTGACCTCTGCTCCCGAAGGTCACAGGGCCTCCCAAGCTGGGTGGGCAGTCTTGCTCCCTGGCTCTCAGGTCACCCCTGAACTAACCCTCAGGATTCCAGGCGACCAGACACACCCACCCTCAGGCTCCTCCGGGGCAGGATCCATGTCCGATCCCCACTGCCCTCATCCCCCCAGCCCCCGGGGTCACCAGCGCCAGGGAGAGACAGAGAAGAGGACAGGCAGGGCAAGAGGCAGGTACTGGGAAGGTTCTGGAAGGAGTGCAGAGTGCCTCACGCGGGCGTGGGCAGGCACAAGGTTAAAGAGGTCTGGGAAGCAGGTCGGGGAAATGTGCACACTGGGCAGGGCCAGGCTGGTGACATGGGCAGGCGTGCAGGAATGTCAGGGCACACGAGGTAGGTGCGAGGCATGCGGGAGGCCTGTGTTCGGGGGAGCAGAGGCAGGCTGGCCGCCGGGGCGCGCGCAGGGCAGGTGTGTATGGGAGGCAGGGGTGCGCGGCAGGTGCGCGCAGGTGCACGCCGGGCGCGGGGCAGGTGCGCGCAGGTGCACGGCCGGGCGCGGGGCAGGTGCGCGCAGGTGCGCCGCAGGTGCGCGGGAACCGCGGGCGGGCGGCACTTGCCTGCGAAGGCTGCGGCCGCCGCGGCCTCGTCGGGGCCCGGCAGGGCCTCGGCGCCCATGTCCATGTGCCCGGGCTCGGCGGCCATCACCGCCACGGCCGTCACCCGCCGCGTCTCGCGCTCTGCCTCCGAGTCCCCGTCCTCCTCCGAGTCCTCGTCCCTGCTGAGCACCGGCTCCTCCGCCTCGCCTCCCGCCGCGGCCGCGGCCGCCGCCGCCACAGCGGCCGCGGCCGCCACCGCCGCCGCCTCGGCCAGGCCCAGCTGCTTGGCGGCCGAGTCCGAGTCCTCCATCCGGACTCCGCCGAGCCCGCCCGAAGGCGCCGGCCGGGGCCGCCCGAAGGCCGGGACGGAGCCCGAAGCGCGCCGCGCGAGCAGGCCGCCCGAGCCGAGCCGAGGCGAGCCGAGGGCGCCCGAAGCTGCCAGCCGAGCCGAGCCGAGCCGAGCCTGCCCGAAGCCGCCCGCCCCGCCGAGCCGAGGCCGCCCGAACAAGGGCCGAACCGGCACGAAGCGGCCTAGTCGAGCCCCGCCGACGGCCAAGAGTCCGGAACCGAGGAGGGCCGAAGCGGCCCGAAGTGCGGAGCCGAGTCGGTCCGAATTGGCCCGAAGCGGCACGAGGGCTTCCGAGCGGCTCTGCGCTACCCCGACTCGGCGCCTAAGAGCGCTGCGCCCCCCGTCGTCCCCCGCAAGAGGGTCGCCAACTGCGGGGCCGGATCTCGCCGATCTCCGACGCAGTGCGGCCGGGCCCAGAGAACCTCTCGCCGCAGGCTCCGCCCGCCCCCGCCGCGAGCGGGAGCCGAGTCCGTCCGAGGCGGAGCCGAACAGAGCCGAACGCTGCCGAGCCCGGATACTCCCGAGCCTCGGCTCTCCGCCTCCTCCTGTACGAAAGTGCCCGAGCGCTGCCGGACGGGTCGAACGGGCCTCGGCCGCGGATCGAATCAACTCCCGAAGCGCGGCGCGGTCGGGTCCCTTCGGGAGCAGAAGCGAAAATGGCCGAAGACGCGAATAGTGCGGAGCCGAGAGACTGCTGGGATCGCGGCGGACTCGGCGGGCGGGGCCGGGCGGCAAGATGGCTGCCGCACGGCGAGGTGAGGGGGCCCGGGGCGGGCTCCTCGGGGGGCTGCCCGGGGGGCCTGGGGGGCCGGCCGCGAGGGTCTCGGACAGCGCAGCGCCCGTCCGCCCGCGGCTTGGGCCGGGGCCCCGCGCGGGCGGGGGCGGAGGTCGCCCCGGGAAGGGGGTTCTATGGGGTTTGGTTCTTTCTGGTGATGGGAAGGCGGACGGGTCTAGGGCGTCTCCCAGCGGTTGCGGCTCCGCGGTCTTGAATGTCTTGGCGAGGTGCGGCCCCGGGCCGGTTGGGCGCCTCTTGCGCTCCCGTGGCCGGCGCCCCGCTCGGCGCAGAAGCCCAGCTGTGCGCGGCGCTGGGGGTGGGGGGACCGTCCCCCGCCGCCGGCCCTGGACGGGGGACCCCCTCTCCCGCCGGCGACCCTGGGGGGCCTCCCGTCCCCCGCCGCCGGCCCTGGAGGGCCGCATGCAAGATGCCGTGGGCCCCGGGCGCTGGGCCCCGTGTGTGGCCGTGGACCGGGCCGGCTGCGGCAGCTGCGCGCTCCAGAGAGCGAGGGGGCCCGTGTGCCTTGAGGGCAGGGCAAGAGCTGGTCACGGCGCTGGGGGCACCCTGTCGCGGTCGCCAGCAGCTTCGTGTCCAGCGCAGAGTGCTGGGCCACGTGGCAAGCCCCTGTTGCCAAGCTAGGCACAGCCGGTGCGTGCCTCGGTGGCTCAGACGTCCCTAAGGTCGGGCCGTGGAAGCTCACCAGCGGTGGGCATGGCTCCTGCTGGTGCAGGTCCTGCTCGTGCCACCAGGGCCCCTGCCGTCCCTGTGGCATTTACGGTACTGAGCTCTCGGCCAGCGTGACAGCTCCTGGGTGAACACTTGTGTGGTGAAAAGAAAGTGCACGAGTGGGAGGTGGCTGTTACCCCCGGCTCCGAGTTTCCCGTGTGTCTGGTTTAGCACCCACTTCTCCGGCCTCCGTCCTGCACCAGGTTACTGGCGGGAGAGCAGAGAGGAGGAGGGAGCCGCGAGCAGAGGTCTGTGTGGTCTGTTGTCTTCAGAGCCCTCCCCAGGGCTCCAACTCGCCAGACCTTTGTGGAAGGCCACTGGCAATGAGGTGTGTCTGCCTTTGGTGGCAGGAAGTCCACACCAGAACGGGATCTCTGTGCACACCTTGTGTATCACCGCAGGGGATCATCTGTTCTCTTTACTTCCACGTGAACTTAAACACCTGTTGATGGCCTCGTTGTTACAGTAACTCATTGACAAAAAATGCTAGGTCCCAAAAGCCAGGGCTGTCCTTAGAATGAGCTCCTGAAGGTCTGAAATCCATAGAAGAGCCAAACTGATTGTAGCCACCTTTTATGCTAATTATTTAAACCCCATTTCACGTGAAGTGTTTACACAGCATTTTTTTCCTGAGCCCCCACAGTTCTGATCCATGAGAGTGGTTGGCTGGCAAACAGATTTGAAGTGTCTGAAGCCAACCTTCAAGGGAAGAATCAAAAGGGAGGAAAACCCCAATCAGTGTGAAATTCACCCAAATAATGGCAAGCATCTAGGCAGCCTAGTTTAGCTACCTCCTGGAAAAGAACAGATCGGGTTTCAAGAGCGCACCGCCTGTAATGTCATGCAAGTTTATAAAGGATCCTGCACGAGCTTCACGCTCCCTGCACGTGCTGCCTCTCCTGGACGCTGAGCTCTGAATCTGTTACTAATTCCCCATGCCGACCCATTTAAGACCCCTGCCCCAGCAAGACTCCACAGAAGGCCCGAATCTGCTTTGATGTGCCCCACAAACCTCAGCAACGCTGAGAGTGTCTCTCCTGCCCCCTTGCAGAGGGGAACTGGAGAGAAGACCAGACAGACTGGTTCACATCACTGTCCTGCTTGCTGCTTGGCAATATAGCTCAAGTCTTCTTCTGTAGGGTCTGTTTGCCAAATTCTCCGTTATTACTGATGTTTCTACATGTCACAAATGTGCCACTACTCTGAGCCTCTTGAGACAGGAAATCTGCCCCAGGACACGTTCAGTCGAAGGATTAGTCCAAGATAACTTCAAACTCAAAACCTCGGATTCTGAAGACCATTTCACGGGGAGAGAGGCTGTCATCTTAAGATGAGGGGAAACGTGTGCCTGCTATGGGGTAGGAGAAGGTCCAAGAGACGCACCACTGGAAGAAATTGGATTGCTGCTGTAGGAAATTATTGTTTGTGAGATTTGGGGCAATGTATAAAATTCTAGAGGAAAGCAAGTGTCTATCATCAATTACAAAAAAAAAAGAAGAAGAAGAAAGAAAGAAAAGATTTGTACCCTGAATCAGAAAAGGTTCTTCTCTAATTACATCCCTGTGGTAAATGCAGAAAGCACAGAGAATGAGAAAAGCTGCCGTCCTCTGGTGCCCAGGGCCTTCTCCCCCGGCGGTGGAGCAGAAATCTGCCTGTCCTGGCTGACCTGACCTCAGCCGTGGATGGAGGCCTCGCTTCCTCTCCACCGCTGAGCTCCCGAGTACACACTCTCTTCCAGCCTCAGGTTCTGAAAAGCAGATGGCAGATCCTCCTCGGAGGGACAGATGCAGAGGTGATAGAAAGGGACCTAGCTGCAGGCCCAGATAAAGGTGGCTTCTTTCTGTAAATACGGGGGAAAGAATGAAGCCGGGATCCTCTGTCAGTGTTGGAAACGGCCCAGGTAAGCACCCAGGTTGGACACTGGGGCCTCACAGACTGATATGCTTTGTTTTCCAGGGAGAGCTTCCTCCGCGGTGGTATCCTTCTGCTGTGTCCCCATGTCCCTCCGCTGGCCTCAGGCCCAGGCCTCCACAGGATGGCACTTCAGGGCTAGTTTGCTGGACACATGAAGGCAGCTCTGAGTTCCTGCTTTTTGTTCCTTTAAACTCCCATGCACACCCTTTCTATAAGTTCTGAGTAGAAATTCCACTTTTAAGTGGGAGGGACATTCACTAACAATTTAGAGTTGATAGGACTTCAGTGGGGCGTGCTGGCTCCATCACCCTCCTTCTTGACCCTGCACCTTGAGTGGGTGGCTGCCTGCCTCCCACCAGGCCCACCTGGAGCAAGAGAGTGAAGACCCCTCACTTTGAATACTTACAGACTCATTTTACCATAAACAAACAAGAAGCGTACAGTGCTCAGGAAAGTTAGTAGACATTTAACTGCACAAAAAAAGAGAATATATTTTCTTTGAAGAAAATGAAAAAAAAAGTCATTTTTTTCTATCTAGTAACCTGGGCCACAGTCAGGGTAATGCCCCCAAGGAAGCCTGGTGTTCCAAGGCCGTCCTGCCTGCGGTCACCAGGGATATACCCAGCCCTCCTGTTCCAGGCTAGGGCATTTCCTGTGACACCAGTGGAGTATGGGTGGAAGCCGCCCCAGGTAGGGAGCCAATGGCCAGGTCCCTGTGGCCACCCGCAGGTGCGCCTCTGAAGACCTGGCAAGGCGTGCCCCCTAGGGTGGATGCACAGGCAGGGCCCGTCTCTAGGCCCCACCGGTCCTTAACCACTGGCCAGCTCTCGTCCGTCTCTCTGCAAGTGCTGTTCTGCCTGAGTGGGGCATATTACGCCCTGTATTTCCTAGCTACACTCCTGATGATTACATATAAAAGTGAGTCTTAAACGCAAAGGCACATGGGCGGTGTCCTTGCTGCACCACCCCACCCCCATAACTGGAGTTCTCTGTTGTCCGCTGTTCTCCAGGTCAGGTTTTCAGTTATCCTCATCCTTACCTGGTCCTCGACCTGACTCTGCTGCTTCTGATGGGGATTCTGGAAGTGACTCGGTTATATCTTGGTGAGTTGACCGAAGACCACATAGTAGGTAGGATCACAGAATTACTAGCTTACGTGCTGGGAACCTCTAAATGCTCATCCCTTTATGATGTGGTTCTTAGAGACACTTTTGATGTCAACCGCTTAGCCACTTGCCTCGCAAGCCTCCCCTTACGATGTCATTAAGTAAATTAGTTTATTCAGAAGCTTAATTCAAGAGACAACGCTGGCACTAGCAGCATCCTTGGGAGAGACGGCAGGGGGACCGACAGCACGGAGATCAGAACCCAGCTTAGCCAGTTGACTGGAGCCCCCAAATGTTCACCTCACCTCCTTCCTTCCCCTTCCGTTGGCCTCAGCAGTCTGGGGAAGGATCTGGAGTGTTCTGTCGAGCCCCCAACAGGGCAGCGGAGCCTGGAGGAGTGGGAGGGCTCCCCGAGCCGCCTCAGTCCAGCTCCAGGGCCATTCATGTGCCCTCAGGCAGCCCCCTGTTCCGTCCTCCAACAGCACGAGCTTTGCCCCCTAGCCCAGCCCAGCCAGTGCTCAGCACACAGGGTCCTGTCAAGTCACAGGCACGCACACACCAGCACATCCGTGTTCTACAGTGGGGTCGTACATGGGTTGAGCATTCTCTCCATTAGAATAGCTGGGAGAGCCGACGACAGCTGGTGCTCTCAGGCCCCTCGCACGTCAGCACGTTCTGCGGGCACACCTGCGCCAGCGACGCCCAATCAGCGGTGAGGAGACGGGCCCACGCCCTTGTCAGCAGGGCCGCAGGACCCTTCAGGGGTCAGGAGCGGGTCTACTGGGCATGCGGGGCCATCAGCATCTGCTGTCACAGACGAGCCCACAACCCTGGGAGGGAGGCGGACGGTGCTGGGCACCTGGGTCAGCTACAGCAGCCAGGGAGCAACGTTTCCTGCGACTGACCGATTTATCTAAAATATTCAGGTTTGGTTCGGTTTTTTACAAGCATGCATGACATTCTCCAGAACTGGCCTCGGCCCAGAGTAAAATATTTTTGGAAATTTTAAACAAAACCTCCTCAGTCCACTTGGAATTAGGAAAACGTATCAGAATGCAACTGGGATCGTTTTTAGAAAAGGAAATTCCCTCTCCCATCCCCACAACTGACCCAGAGGCTAAGATTCAGACATTCTCCCGTGATTGGTTTTTACCCTCACTAGGGAGAACACACCCCTTGTCACACTTTGCTTTCTGACGTTTCATGAGTGATGTGGTGACCACAACAGGACCTTTTACCGAAAGTCCTCAGCCCTGCGTCCAGAGGGCCGTGCTGGTGATGAGCTGGCTCTTGGCCTCCCTGCCTCCTCGCAGCCCTCCTGGGCACACATGGGTCAGAGTAGGTGTCCCGGAGCCCAGCGCCCACTCACCTGACTGTTCTGCTCTCCAGGCACCAAGGGCAACCTGATGGAGGCCGAGGTGCCGCTGGCCATCAGCCTGGTCCTCACAGCAGTGGGTGCCCTGCTGTCCACCTACTTCCTGCTCTGGCAGACCCTGGTGCTGCGGGCAGACTCCATCCTCAGTGCCACACTCCTGGCACTCCATGGCCTGGAGGCCATCCTACAGCTGGTGGCCATTGCTGCCTTCGTCAGCTAGGCAGGCGGTGCCCAGCTTCCCTCCCCACGCCTCCCCCCCTCCCCAGGGTGGGACAGCTCTGGACAGAAGCCACTTCCCCGGAGCTCGGCCATGTCTGGCTGGCTCCCTCTGGGGTGCGCTGACCTGCTTGATCACCGAGGGGGGCAGGTGAGGATGGTGCATGATTTCTTGCGGTGCTGTGCATCTCTCACATAATTGCTGGCATTCCGTGCTTTCCACACTGGTCTACCTGGAGCTACAGGGTGGCGTGGGGAGCCAGGGACCCACAGCTCACGGCAGGCCAAGTCCTGGACAGCAGTCAGCTCTGCTTTGCAACAGAAAGAAAAGAAATGTGAAGGTGCCAGCAAGCTCTGATGTTTGGGGGGTTTTTGCAGAGGTGGCCCCTTTCCCCTTGGGGCTCCTGTGGGGAGGTGGTCTGAAGCCCCGGCACTGAGGGGAGGGAGGCAGAGAATGGGAGAGTGACGGAGAACAGCCTGCCACTGCCCCGGGCTGGGGCTTCAGGGCTCCGATGTCCAGGCCTCCGTCGGGAAACCATCAGGAACGTTTGCACTGTGTTAGACGCAGTCACAGAACGAAAGGGCTCCTGGAAGGACTCTGAGTTCATGTTCTCTAGTAACTTGCCTTCGTTATATCACACCCTCTCCACGTTTGGAATAACATGTTTGAATATCCAGGTATTTTCTCTTTGCCATGTTGTCGAAATAAATGTTTATACCTCCCTCAATTTCTCCTAAGGCCACCTACCTCTTCCAGGGTTCTCTCTGGATAGACAGGAGCACACCCCACCCAGGCCTCACCCAGACACCCAGGGAGCAGTGCTTCCCTGAAAGGCAGCAAAGCTGGGCTTGGGGCCCGTCCTGGAGCTCCCCAGGGACCGGCTTCAGCGAGGGCTGGCAGCAGCACCCTCCCGCACCTGTCCTTCTTGGGGGCAAGTGGGGGCAGGAGCTCTCCCCTCTGCTGGCTTTGGCTCTGGTCCGGTGCACACCGGGGGCCCTGAGGCCGCATGTAGGTGCCCTCGTGCTTACCTGCTGCTCGCGTGCACATGTTCAGCAGAGCCTCGTGCCTCTGACGCCGGGGCACTCCCCAGGGGACTTGGGAAGGTTGGGACGGCTGCACTTGCTCTCAGTGGAAACGCTCGGCCAGCTCCCCGCAGACCCTGGCCGCCTGACACTTGTGGCCTCAAAGGTCCAGGACCTCCTGCCCAAGGGTGTAGGCCCGGCCCTGACACCCCCATCGCTCTGGCTGCACGGAGGTGGCAGTCACCTGTCCACAGAGGACAGCACAGCTCCAGGTGGCTCCAGAGGCTCCCTGGTGACAATCAGTCTGATTTCAGACGTGCAGTAGCGCCCACCTCAGCTGCTCCCTTCTGTGCGAGCCTCCCACTTCCCGCCTGCCCAGGCTCAGTCTCCAGGAAGGACGAGGGCAGGCCTGTGCCTTTTCTGGGTGCTCAGCAGAGTAGGGGAGAGAACCAGGAAGCCGGGGCTCGGGGGCTCGGGGGCTCAGGGGCAGGGCTGGGCCTGAGAGGAAGGCCACTTCCTGCACCACCTCTGAGAGCTCACCTGTGATGCTTCAGACAGCAGGTGGGGAGACCCGCCCCCCGGGGGGGGTGCCTCCATTCCCCCGGGGGGGTCCCCAGGAAGTGCTCTGTGTCAGCCCCAGGTAAACAAAGGCCAACTGCCCTTGGGACCCTGCCTCCTGATGCACCATTTTCCACCCCAGGCACAATAGCCAGAGGCTTTGGGTCCTTGCACGTGCCTGGGGTGCCCACCACTGCCTGGACTTGCCCTCTGCCCCTTCTCTACTTCCTCCCCACCCAGCTGGCAGAGGCAGGGGGAGTCAGTTCAGGAGGAAGGATACTGGCCCCACGCTGGGGGCAGAGGGTGGGGCCTGGGCCTAAGGAGGGGGCCACGGCCTGGAGTCTGTTCTCTGCCCTAGTAGTGAACAGCCTACACCACGGGCATCCCCACCCATCAGACACCCCCATCCCTCAGGGGGTGCCCATGGTGGACTGGGGATGCACAAAAAGACTGTAGGATCGGGGCGCCTGGGTGGCTCAGTCAGTTAATCTGCCTTCGGCTCAGGTCATGATGCTAGGGTCCTGGGACGGAGCCCCACATCAGGCTCCCTGCTTGGTGGGGAGTCTGCTTCTCCCTCTGCCACTCCCCCTGCTTGTGCTCACTCTCTCTCTCTCTCTCAAATAAATAAAATCTTTTTAAAAAAAGACTGTAGGATCTCCTGGATTGTGGAGAAGAGAGCCCTCTCCTGCCTGGGGAGCTCGGAGCGCAGGGCCGCAGGGTCTCTGGCCTCGGATCATACCTTTGACACCCATTCACAGACACGCCCGACACCAGCACCCCCCCCAGACCAGAGGGGCCAGCCGTAGAGGAGGGGCTTCTGCCCCGGGGCCTGGCGCCTAGGATAGGCCCCTCTGCTGCGGCAGCTGAGGCTGGGAGATACCCGGCAAGGGATACCTGGCGGCTGCTGGGGCGCAGCGAGGCCTGCCTCGGGAAGATCTTAGAACCTCGCCCTGCGTAGTCGCCAGGCACATCCCCACGGGTGAGGGGCTCCCGATCCGCCTACCCGTCCACCGGCGCCCCAGCTCTGGGGGGTGGGGTCTGCGGGTCCAGGGGGCCCACGGGGCGGGCGTTGGGGGCCGTCCGCCGGGAGCCCCAGGGGGCGGGGCCGAGTCGAAGGGGCGGGGCGTTCTCGTCCCGCCCCCGCCCTTCCCCCCGCGCCCGCCGGCTCCCGGGTCTCTAACCTGCCGCTCAGGTTCCTCCTCGCGGTCCCGCCCCGGCCCGGCCCAGCCGCGCGTCCCTCCCGCTGCCGAGCCCGGGCCGCCCAGGCGAGGAGCGGACAGACAGGCGGACGGACGCGCGGACAAGGGGACCCACGGGCGGCGCAGGCACGGGGCCGCGAGGAGCAGGTGAACGCCCCACGGGTCCCCACCTAGCCCACTCAGACCTGCCAGAATCCCTGCGGACGGCGGTCTGGCTCGGCCTTAGTTTCCCCAGGTGGCTGTGCGACTGGGGGCTCTGGCCGGAGTCCGTGGGCCGGGCCTGGGCGCCGGAGGCAACGGGGTGCGATAGGGCTGCGCCGAACCCGCGGCCAGGAACCTGGTCCGGCTGCGGCCTGGTCTGCCCGGCCTGGTGCTGGGGCGGTGCCGGTGCGCAGGGACATTTTAAAGGCAGTGGCACCTGAGTCAGCCGGCCCCCTCCCCGCCCTGGGGCTCGGTGGAGGGAACCCCTTCCTCCAGCGAAGGAGGTGGGAAGGGGGTTCTCTCCCTGTCCCTCGAAGGCCCCAAACCCCCTTCCACAGGACAGGCTGGGGCCTCCTTTGTGGCCAGTGGCTCCCTGTGGGCTGGCTCAGGAGGCACTTCCTGGGTGTCTGAGCCAGGAGGGAATCCAGGGCCAGAGAAGCATCAGGCTAGGGTCAGGTTCTGGGTCAAGGGGTGTGGGAGTTTCAGGGAGGAGGAGGCTGCATGCTGGGTGGCAGGGGGCCTGTGGGTGCTGGACCTGAGGCTCCCCAGGTCCCTCCTCCCTGAGCCAGGCTGGCCTGGGGCGGCCCCTGTGTATGAAGGTGTCCCTGGTGGCTGGGGAGGATGGTAGACAGGCTTGTGGTGCCTCTGAGGTGCACCCACAGACCACCTCTACCCCCACTCCAGGGGTAGTCAGCCCCAGCAGTAGCAGTTCGGGGAGCCAGGGCCCAGCTGGGGGTGCCTCTCCTTCCCCACCTCTGCACTGCTCCCCCCAGCCCCCGCCCTGGGGGGGCCTGCCCAGGCCTCTCCTGGGGCCTGCCTAGAACGGGGCCTCAGTGGTTCAGCATTCCACCCCGCCCAGTCTGTTGGATCCCCTGTGCCCGCCTTCCCAGTGCACCTTGAGCCCACCCCTTCCCCACCCAGGCTTCCCAGGCTTATCCCTCCTTACCAACCAGGTTGGGCCCTCCCCAGCAAGCAGCTCCCAGACCTGGGCAGAGCCAGGGCCCTGAGGGGTTCCCCATTCCAGAACTCCACCCGGCTCCCTCTGGGCCTTAAGCTGACTCCTCCCCAAGGTCACTTGGCTGTGAGCTGGAATTTGAACTTGGAGCTGGTCCCTCCACCCTCCCTGCCCTGCTGGGGCCTCCGCCACTGCCCAACCAGGCACCATGCTCGGCCCTCCCTTTGCACCCGGAAAATGGCCGCAGTAAAACCAAAGTGCAGTCTGGGCCCTGGGCTGGTCGCAATCCCTTGGGCCCACACAGCTCCCCTGCCCCAGTCAGCTGACTGGAGCAGGCCTGTGGTGGCCCCTCCCCCAGCTGCTCCCCAACCCAGATGCCAGCACCTGGACTCACCTTTCTGGCTGGCCCTGCTGGGCCCCCCACCCTGCTCCAGGGAGTTGAAGGCCATGGGTTCCTAGCCTAGGCGCCCGAAGGAGGGGGGCCATGTGTCCCAACCTGTGCGTGTCTGTGTGTGCCTGGGGGCCTGGGTTTTGCCCAGGTTTGTGTGTGCCCAGACACACGTGCCCAGTGCCCTTGGCTCAGCCCCCAGGAATCCCATTGAGCAAACACTCGGCTCCCTCGCTGAGGTCATGAGCATTCCGGACATTCTCCACGGACAGATGGTCAGAGGAATCTGACCAAGCCCCTACTCCCACCCATCCTGAGAGAGCCAGGACCCTCCATGGCACATGGGAGGGGGTGGCCTGAAGCCCCCAGACCCCTCACACCTCCTGGAAATCCTCTTTGTAGGTAGGACCTGGTCAAACCAGAAAGTCCTGGGGTGCTCCCTGCCCCTAGATACCAGTACCCCTGGCCTGTGGACCACCCACTCCAGCCAACCCCAAATACAGAGGGACAGCCTTGTCAGAGGTCCCCAGGGGGCACAGACCTCACAGGACATGTTAGTCTGACCCAGGGGGGCCAGGCTCTGCTCACCCCCCTGAGGGTGTGCTCCCTCTAGACTTTGTTCTGGGCTCTGGGTCCCCAAGGCCACACCTCCCCCCGCCCCTACCCCATCCAGGGTCCAGTCTCATCCTGTGCTGCCTTCCTCTGGTATTGGCTCCCACCTGCCTCAGGGCCTTTGAACATGTGTTCCCTCTGCTTGGAAGGTGGTTCCTCTCTTAGGTCCCCTTTCAGAGCCCCCAGGACACTGTCCTTGCAGGCCCACCTAGATAGCCTTGAGAGTGGGACTCCTCTACTGGCCCCCCTGGGGCTCCCTGTGGAAGACCAAGGGTCTGGGGTGAGATAGAGGCCCATGTCTGCCAGCTGGGACCTGGGCCGGGAGGTCCTGCTGTGTCCAGGAGGCAGGACTCTACTCCCTGAGGACACCCTGCCCAAGCTCTCTGGGGGACCTGGCCAGGACACCAGGGCTGCAGCCTCTGGATCTGGGGTGGGCGGAAGAGGGGATCAAGTCCTGCCCTGGGAGCAGTGAAGCCACCGACCAGGCACCAGGGAGGTGTCAGCTCGGCTGCCCTCTGCACTCAGGTGTGGGCCGGGCACTAGGCCCTGGACTCAGGCCACAAGGTTGCCCTTCCATCACCAGCCACCACCAAGGACGCCATGAGCCAGTTGGGGTCTGTGAGCTGCTGCCCAGGTGCTGCCAAGTGAGTCCCCACCCCCATCCACTGAGCAGTCCCCGGGGACGGGTGCCATGTGGGCCTCGCCCTCACCAGCCCCTCCCCTGCAGTGGCAGCCTGGGCCGGTCTGACAGTGTGGCCAAGATGAGTGCCAAGGACCTGTTTGGTGAGTGAGGCTTGAGGATGGGCTGTGGGGTCTCGCCCACTCCCCTCCCCCAGGCTGTGCCAGGCCCCCACCAGGGGGATGCAGGTCAGCCCTTGGTGCCCAAAGGAGGCCCCTGGACCCTCATTAAGCAACAGCTGCTCAGGTCCCTCCCTCCCTCACTGTAAGCAGAGAGGCCTTTACTAATAATTCAGGGACCATCAATATTGATTCGGCTGTGCTCCTCACTGCAACCAGATAGCCCAAGGGGTGGGGCTCAGGCTGGATGGAGCGCCAGGTGTCTGCTGGGGGGGAGGGGGGCGGGGCCTGGCCAGCCCCACCTCGCCCAGCTCTGCCTCTCCCCCAGACACTCTTTTGTGCTTTTGGACTCAGTGCCCTGTCTGGAAAGTTAGGAGCCTCAGGGAGGGACCAAGAGATGTTAGCTGGCAGCTCTTGGAGTTGGGGGAAGCCCAGGCTTGGACTGCTTCCCAGAACAGTGGGTTTCCAAGGGAGGAGCTGCTGAGCCTCCTGCGCCCGCTCCAGGACAGACCCCTAGCAGGGGGTCCTTTTCTAGGGGCCATCTGGGGGCAGAGGGAGCTGAGGGTCCTTTCCTAGGGGCCATCTGGGGGCACAGGGGGGTTTTCTGTCTGCCCAGAAGGGCCCTCACATTTCACACCCTCGAGTCCTTTCTGGCAGCAGCCCCCTCACCTCCACTCGGCCCTTCCTGTGGCCCAACCTGGGAGTCCAGTCCCACCTGTACCAGGGGCGGTGGGTCCTGCCCTCTGTGGTGAGTGACTGGTGACTCCCTGCTCAGAACAGAGGAAGAAGTACTCCAACTCCAACATCATCATGCATGAGACCTCCCAGTACCACGTCCAGGTGAGGCCAGCCCCCAAGGAGCACCTCCAGAGTCCCTGGGCAGATGGGAACCTGAGGCACAGGGAGACAGCCCAGCTTCTGACACCCACAGCAGGTAGCCAGAGCCAGGGACTGCCCCACACCTGTCCTGGGCTCACCCATGGTGCGGGGAGCCCCCTCCAATCCTGGGAAGCTCACAGTCTGGGGGACGCAGGAGCTCTGGGGCTCTGTCAGGGAAATGGAGATGCCGGTGGTCAACACAGGCCAGGCAAGGACAAGGCCTGGGTGCTGTTTGGCAGCACTTGGGTGGGAAAACTCTGTGGGAAGGAAACTGTCATCCTGGCCCCCAAACAAGGAACTGGATTAAGAGGCAGAAGATAGGACACAGACACACTTAGTGAGCTCCTGCAGGAAAACCTCGGATGGCCAATTCAGATGGACTCTGGGAATGTCCAGACTGGTTAGCTGCACTCCAGACCAGCACCCAGCTCAGGAGGGTTTTCACCCTGGGTCAGCTTTTTTTTTTTTTTTAAAGATTTTATTTATTTATTTGAGAGAGAGAGTGAGATAGAGAGAGAGCACAAGAGGGGGGAGCAGGAGAGGAAGAAGCAGACTCCCTGCTGAGCAGGGAGCCCGATGCGGGACTCGATCCCAGGACTCTAGGATCATGACCTGAGCCGAAAGCAGTCGCTTAACCAACTGAGCCACCCAGGTGCCCTACCCTGGGTCAGCTTTGATTCACACTTAGAGCTCAGGAAATATGTTTTTTAAATGACCTTCCTGGTTCTTGGCCACTGTCCCATCCTGTAGGACAACAGGGCTAAGAATGGCTGAGGAGGGAGGAAGGGGCAGCCTTGGACCAGGAAGAGGGGGGCTTGGACCAGGAAGTAGGGGGGACCCTGGGCCAGGAAGCGGGGGGGCCTGGACCAGGAAGGGGGCTCTGGACCAGGAAGGGGGGAGCCTGGATTAGGAAGGAGGGCCTGGATCAGGAAGGGGGCCTTGGACCAGGAAGGGGGCCCTGGACCAGGAAAGGGGGAGTCTGGATCAGGAAGGGGGCCTTGGACCAGGAAGGAGGGCCTGAATCAGGAAGATGAGGACTTCTTCCCTCCCCACAGAACCCCCCAAACCCAAGAGGCCAGGCGAGTCACTGCTTTCTAAGCCTCAGGTTCCTGATCCATACAATGGGTCCACAGAGACACTGGGAGTCCCTAGGCTCTTGAATTGGGCTGTGTTGAGTGAGCAGCCTTCCCTGCCAGGCTGCTGGCTCAGGGTCCAAGGGCAGGGCACAGGGTGGGGAAAGGTCAGCTTCATCCCCTTCCTTCCCAGGCAGCTGGGCCACCCCTCTCGGGGGTAGGGCAACGTTGCCCTTCTGGACTTTGGTCCGAGCTATCCTGTGGAAAGACCCCAACCCAGGGGCACCTCTCCTGCTTGCCCAGCACCCGGCAGGGCTGGGGGAGAGGATGGGCTTTGCCTGCCCCTCCCAGGTGAGGAAACCAAGGCAGAGAGAGAGGGTAAGAAGTGGGGGCAAGGTCAGACCCACCCCTGGCAATGGGGGCTGCTAAGACTTGTGGGTTTGTTTGCTTTCCTGTTTTCTAAGTTAGTGTGCCGGAGGTGGGGGGCATGCAGTTGTGTTTCAGGTCGGTGGTGTCACCGCCACGGTCCGGACACAACAGCTGCTTTACCCCAAAACTCACTCCTGCTGACCCTAGCGGTCAGGGTCTTCCCAATGCACCGTTCAGCAACGCGGCTCTGTCCTGCAGCTCTCGAGTTTGACTTTTGGAGAACCCCGTCTCCCCCCACTTCTGCATAATTGAATTCATATAGTTTATGACACTTTGTTCTGCTTGGTAAACTTATTTCAAGAAAACGCGTGTGTAGGATAAGACTTCTCTCAGCTCTGGTCTTCAGGGGACATCTCCACCGGCTGTGCCAGCCCCTGGGGACCCTGCATGTGGCCACTCGTTTGTACAATTGCACCTTTTTGACGGGTGGGTGTCCTTTGCACACATTGTCAGGTGTGTGGATTAGAGATATCTTCCCAGTATGGCTTGTTGATTGATATGCATGACCGTCTTTTGATGAACAGAAGTACTTAATTTTGATGATGTCCAGCCATATCCACTCTCCCCCTAAGATTAGGGTTGTTTTGTTGGTTTTGTTTTTTTGTGGGGGGAGGGAGTGGTCATTGCCTGACCCAAGGCTGTGAAGATTCCTTCCTGTGTCTCCTAGAAACTCCAGACTTGAGGCTTTTACATTTAGGTCTATGATCCATTTGAAATTAATTTTTGTGTATGAGACTCGAGGCTAATTTTTCCCCGTAGCAATGTGCAGTTATATGAAGAAGATGTTCCTTCTCCTATCAAATTGCTTTGGTGCCTTCGTCAAAAACTGAGGAGTTGAATGGGATGGGTCTGTCCGTGCTTTGTTTCGTGATCTTTCTCTCACTGTAGCTTTATTATTGAACTTGAAATCAGGCAGTGTCAGTCCTGCAACCTTATATTCTTTCTCCCCAAGATCTTCTTGACTATTCCAAGCTCTTTGGACTTGTGTTTATATTCCAGAAAAGCCTGCTAGAATTTTGACTGGCATTGAGTCAAACCTATGGATCCACTCGGTGTGATCCTGAGCCCTTCCCACCTGTGGACGCGCTCTTTCCCCACGTATCAGGGCTACTCTGACTTCTCTCAGAGTGTTTGTGTTTCCACTGTAGGGATCTTGAGTATCTTTTCTCCAAACATTCCTCAGCATCTGACTTGCAGATGCTGTTGTAAACGGTACTGTTTTTAAAAAAGCCATTTTTGCATTGTTGCTAGCGTATGGAGGAACGATTGAATTTCCGTACAATTATTGAGCGCCCTGAGACCCCGCTGAACTCATTTATTTGTGTTAGTGATTTGCTTGTAGATCCACTGAATTTACTACTATAAAATCAGGCTGTCTGAAATACAGAGCTTTGTATCTTATTTTTAGAGCTTCATTGCCCTGGCTAGGACCAACAGTACAATGCTGAAAAAAAGCAACAAAGAGGGGACATCCTTGCCTGTGTCCAATTTTAAGAAGAAATATCCAGTATTTCCCCATTGTATAGGCTATATATTTTTGTAGATAGTTTACTAGTGAAGAAGCTCCTTTCCATTCTTTGCTGAGAGTTTTTTATCATGAAAGGCGTTACATTTTGTCAAATGCTTTCTCTGAATTTACAGAGGTGTATTCACAACTGTTAACATAAGTCAGTCACACTGATTGATTTTTCTGAATGTTGAACCACCCTTGCGTTTCTGGGATAAACCTCATTCATTCATTATTGAATTATTATTCAATAAGTGTACTATTCTTTTTATGTGTTGATGGACTAATTTGCTAACAATTTGCATTAATGTTCATTAGAGATACTGGTCTATAATTTTATTTTCCTATAAATCCTTGACAGATTTTGGTGTCAAAATTGTGGTGGCCTTATTAAATGAGTGGGAAAGTATTCCTACTCCTTGGTTTTCAGAAAGAATTTGTGAAACATTGTTTTTATTTCTTCCTTAAGTAATTGTTAGGATTCACCTGGAAAGCCCTCTGAATGTAGGGTTTTCTTTGTGGGAGGTTTTTGACTATGAATTCACTTTTATGCATGTAAGATCTGTAGTGATGGCCCTTCCTTTTTTCTAGTTATTGATCATTTGTGTTTTCTCTCTTTTTTTTCTTGATCAATCTTGCTGGGGTTTATCAATTTCATTAATCTTTTCAGAACCGACTTTGGGCTTAGTTGATTTTTCTCTATTGTTTGGTTACTACTTTGCTGGTTTCTGCTCTTAACTTCCTTCTTTTCACTTACTTTGGGTTTTGATTGTCTTTTTCTAGTTTCTTACGGGAGACCTGTAGATCACTGATATGAAATATTCCTTCTTTTCTAATTTATTCATTTACAGCTGTACACCCCCCCCCACAAAAGCCTTTCACCAAATCCTGCAAGTTTGATGTGCCTGCCTTTAGTTTTTATTTTTATTTTTTTAAAAGATTTTATTTTTATTTATTTGACAGAGAGAGACACAGCGAGAGAGGGAACACAAGAGGGGGAGTAGAAGAGGGAGAAGCAGGCTTCCCCGCGGAGCAGGGAGCCCGATGCGGGGCTCGATCCCAGGACCCTGGGATCATGACCTCAGCTGAAGGCAGACGCTTAACGACTGAGCCACCCAGGCACCCCTAGTTTTTATTTTTATTTTTTTAAGATTTTATTTACTTATATGAGAGAAAGCACAAGCAGGGGGAGGAGCAGAGGGAGAGAGAGAAGCAGGCTCCCTGGCGGGACTCCATCTGGGGACCCTGGGATTATGACCTGATCCGAAGGCAGACGCTTGAGCCACCCAGGCGCCCCACGCACACACCTTGGTTGTCATTCAGTTTGGAACACTTTCTGATTCCCCATGACTTCCTTGCCCCCTTCTTCTTTGTTCACGTGAGCACTCACAGCTACAGACACTCCCCCCCACCCTTTGTGTGGCGTCCGGAGGTCCTGCTGTGCTGTGTTTTTGTTTTCACTTGCCTCTGTCTTTTCTCATTTCCCTCCTGATACCTTTCACCATTGGTTGTTGATGTAGAAGTGTGTTGCTCAATTTCCAATTTTTGAGGGTTTTCTAGTTATCTTTTCTGTTACTGGTTTCTAGTTTAATTCCATTATGGTCGGAGAGCACACTTTGCAGGGCTTCAATCACCTGAAATGCACGGAGACTTGTTCCGCAGTCAGGCACCTGGTTTTGCTTGGCTTGGTGGTGTGTTTTGCTAACAGGGTGTGCTTTGGGGCTCACCTTGCCTCGCACAGATGGGTCGGCTGCCTTTTGTCCCCTGCGTGTTTCTGCCCCCTTCTCTCTCTGACCTGCTGACGCACACGTAGGCTGGGACCACCCCTCACAACCACACTCAGTCTCGCATGTGGTGGGGTTACCTGAATTGTGAGGAGAGAGCACCTGGGGCGTGCGGACTGGGGGCTCCCACTTCTCCACAGCTACCCTGTGAGTGTGACCCACAAGGACTTGTTAGACTGGTCAATAAAACAGGTAAATAAGCCTGCGGTTGACTCACCTCAGGAGAAGGGGTGTCAGAGTTTCACTATGCAATGCTTGTTGAATGAGACTACATGCAATTTTCTATTTTAAAAAGTGAGTTACATTTATTTTCCCAGAGATCCTCTGTTCAGCTCTTTTGCCGATTTTTCTATTGGATTGTTAATTTTTTACTTATTCACAGATTTTTTCATTCATTTATTCATCACTGGTAATAACTATACTTAACAAAATAGAGCTTTTAACAAAGTAAGAGCTATCACTGAAGTACATACTTGTCTTTTTATATATTAAGAAAATCAGGGGTGCCTGGGTGGCTCAGTTGTTAAGTGTCTGCCTTCGGCTCAGGTCATGATCCTGGGGTCCTGGGATGGAGACCCACATTGGGCTCCCTGCTCCGTGGGAAGCCTGCTTCTCCCTCTCCCACTCCCCCCGCTTGTGTTCCCTCTCTCGCTGTGTCTCTCTCTGTCAAATAAATAAATAAATAAAACCTTTTAAAAAGAAAAGAAAATTAGCCTTCACCATATCTATTACATCTGTTTGTCCCACTTTTTTTTTTTCCTTTTTACTTCGTATACGGTATTTTTTTTTCCAGGCAGAAATGCATTAGGTCAGAGTTTTTGGTCTTTTCTTCTGAGCGTCTGGGTTTTCTTTTTCTTCCTTGCTGAGGAAGGTCCCCCTGTAAGGGGGCCGTTCTGAGGTCATCAGAAATCGTCCAGCATTTTCTCCTAGCACTTTCGCAGCTGGGTCTTGACTGCCTAGAGTTTAAGGGAGTGTTTATCCGGTTGTCTCAGTTTTGTTCACTGACTTCAGTGAAGGTCAATGGGACACACTGCGGAGCCTGGAGGGAGGAGGAGCCCGAACCAGGCTTGGGGACAGAGGAAGGGGAGGGCTGTGCTGGCCAAGGGTCCCTGGGCCACCCCACAAAGCAGCCCACATGGCCATTCCAGGTGCTCACTCATCCCAGCACATTCACTGAGGGCCTACTGTGTGCCAGGCACTAGGGAAATAAATAGCAGTGAACCCAGCAGCCAGAAAATAAACAAAGAAACATAATGTCAGATTGTGATAATTAAAAACAAGTCAGATCAGGGGCTTGAGAGTGATGCTGTAGCCTGGCAGGGGGAGCAGGTCTGAGCGGAGCCCTGAAGGAAGAGAGAGCTGGAGAAGAGTAAGGGAGGCAAACTGGGGATAGACCATGCAAAGGCCCTGTGGTGAGTCTATGCTAGGTCTGCAGGGGGGAACAGGGAGGCTGGTGTTCCTGGAGTCCAGCCACAGGAGATGAGGTGGGCGAGGGATTGTTTGTGTGAAGCTGCCAAAGGTTTTATCAGGGCATGTCCACGGCCCCCCAGACGTTCCTCAAGGCAGAGCAGAGACCTTCCCCTAAGGTAGGGCTGTGTCTCTCAGACCCCCAGGGTCGGGGATGTTCTCCACCCCCCAGGCTCCCAAGGTTGGCCCTGGCCCCTCAGGCCCCCGGGTGCAGCCCCTTGACCCTCGTCTGGGCACAAAGAGGGCTCTCCCCAGAGTGACCACCTGCCCGCCCCCAGCACCTGGCCACGTTCATCATGGACAAGAGTGAGGCCATTGTGTCCGTGGATGACGCCATCCGGAAACTGGTGCAGCTGAGCTCCAAGGAGAAGGTGTGGACGCAGGAGATGCTGCTGCAGGTCAATGACCAGTCTCTGCGGCTGCTGGATGTGGAGTCCCAGGTGTGGCAGCGACAGGGCAGCCAAAGGCCATGACCCAGACACGCAGCTGGGCCTCTCTGTGGGGGTGGGACAGGATGAGGAGGGCAAAGGGCAGGTGGGGCAGGGAGGGCTGATCGGGCTGAGAATCCAGGGGAACCCGGTCACACACAGTACCTCGCCCACCTCTGGCTCCAGCCTGTCCACCGGCTGTCCCAAGGCAGGGCCTGGCTGTGCCCAGGGGTCCGTGTGCCGCAGCTGCGGCCACGGCCTGGCAGAGTCTGGGTCTGCCTCTGTGCCACGTGCTCTGCTGTGCCCACCAGTTGTCTGTGACTGTCCACGGCACACACCCCACAAGCCGGGCTCACAAGGCACGCCCAGGGCACTGTGTCCGAGGCTCAAGTCCACCCCGCGCCCGTGGCTGTGAGTCCGTGGTGGTGTCACATCTGGGAGTCGCGGCTGTGGGACGCGGCCCAGGCGCATCCGAGCCCCCGGTCCCCTAGGAGGAACTGGAAAACTTCCCGCTGCCCACGGTGCGGCACAGCCAGACGGTGCTGAACCAGCTGCGGTACCCCTCCATTCTGCTGCTCGTGTGCCAGGACTCGGAGCAGAGCAAACCCGACATCCACTTCTTCCACTGCGACGAGGTGGAGGTGAGAGGGGCGGCGGCCGGGAGGGCCCCGGTGCGCCTGCGCCTGCCTGATACCCGGTGCCCCCAGGCGGAGCTGGTGCACGAGGACGTCGAGAGCGCGCTGGCCGACTGCCGTCTAGGGAAGAAGCTGAGGCCACAGACCCTGAAGTAGGCGGGGGCGCCGGGCGCGGGAGGGCCGGGGGTGGGGCTGGGGCCGGGCTGAGCGCGCCTTCGCCCCCATTCCAGGGGCCACCAGGAGAAGATCCGGCAGCGGCAGTCCGTCCTGCCCGCTCCCAGGGGCCCAGCGCCCATCCCCTTCCAGCGCTACGGCAGTGACTCCCCGCCCGCCAAGAATCGAGTGGGCCCGCCGATGCCACTCACTGAGCCAAGTACGCTGAGGGAGCCGGGCTGGGGCTGCACTCGAGGTCCGTGGGGGCGGCCTCTGTCAGTACCACCCGATGTCTGCCTCCCCCATCCAGGCTTCCGCCGTCGGGAGTCGCAGGATGAGGAGCCCCGCGCTGTGCTGGCTCAGAAGATAGAAAAGGAAACGGTGCGTCTTGGGGCAGGTGGGGCGCCCCCACCTGACCGCGTCCCCATCAGGTGTGGGCCCCTCCAGCCAGCCTCCAGCCAGCACCCGCCTCCTCCCCCCAGGCCAGGGACCAAAAGACAGTGTGTGGGGCTGTCCCTGCCGCGGGTGGGGGCGCCTGAGACTGAACCCCTGCCTCTGCTCTGACCCCAGCAAATCCTCAACTGTGCCCTGGACGACATTGAGTGGTTCGTGGCTCGGCTGCAGAAGGCGGCGGAAGCTTTCAAACAGCTGAACCAGCGCAAGAAGGGGAAGAAGAAAGGGAAGAAGGGGCCAGCAGGTGCGGAGGGGGCGGTGGTCCGTGGGGCAGGGGGGACAGCAAGGGGATGTAGGGGAACAAGAGAAGATGGAGAGAACAAGGTGCAAGAGGCGGGTGGCCACTGAGCTGCAGGAGATACAGTCTGAGCAGGTGGGCTACTGAAGGCAAGGACCCCCCCGGCGCAGTGACGGCCAGCCAGGCTCATAGCCACTGCCCTGCCCATTCCAGAGGGTGTCCTTACACTGCGTGCACGGCCCCCCTCTGAGGCCCAGTTCATCGACTGTTTTCAGAAAACCAAGCTGGCTATCAACCTGCTGGTGAGTACTAGGCCCCCTCCAATCTACCCTCCCCACCCTGTCCCTCTGTGCCTACATTGGGGGATCTAGGGTCTTTGCCCCACCTTGTCCCAGCACCATCCCCGCACCCCTCTGTCTGCCCCCCACTCTGACCCTCTGTGCCTACATTGGGGGATCCAGGGTCTTTGCCCCCCTTGCCCCAGCACCACCCCCCCACTCCGTCTGTCTGCTTCCCCACCCTGTCCCTCTGTGCCTACACTGGGGGATCCAGGGTCTTTGCCCCCCCTTGCCCCAGCACCATCACCCCACCCCTCTGTCTGCCCCCCACCCCAGGCCAAGCTGCAGAAGCACATTCAGAACCCCAGCGCTGCAGAACTCGTGCACTTCCTCTTTGGACCTCTAGACCTGGTGCCTGGGGCTGGGGCTGGGGGCGCAGGACCCCAGGGTGGTTTGCCCCTGGCTGAAGGTGGGGGGAAGCAAATGCCTACCCTGGGCAGGCAGCTGGGGCCATGCGTCCGGGCTGTGGGCGTGGCTGGTCTGTGGTGCTGTCAGCAAGCCAGCTGGGACTGGGGTCCGGTGGGTAGGGCCTCCTCTGAACCCCGCTTTGCCCCAGATCGTCAGCACCTGTGGGGGCCCAGACATCGCACGCTCCGTGTCCAGCCCACTGCTTTCCCGCGAGGCCGTGGGCTTCCTGCGAGGCCACCTAGTCCCCAAGGAGATGACGCTGTGGGATTCGCTGGGGGAGACATGGACACGCCCCCGGTGCGGCAGCGGGCAGTGGGCAGAGAGGGTGTGGGAAGGGGCCCTGGGCTGGGTGATGCAGGGCATGGGGTGCAAACCAGGATGGGGTTCCCTGGCAGGCCAGGTGTGTGGTCCCAGGTGGGGCTGGTTCCCATGGGTGGGCGTGGCTCACCTCCAGAACCTCCCACCTCCAGTTCTGAGTGGCCCCAGGAGCCGCAGGTGCCCCTCTACGTGCCCAAGTTCCACAGTGGCTGGGAGCCACCCCTGGACGTGCTGCAGGAGGCTCCCTGGGAAGTGGAGGGGCTGGTGTCTGCCCCCGACGATGAGGTCAGAGCACCCATGGCCCCACCCCAAACCCACTGGCCATCTGCCTCCTCCACCACTGCTCACCTCCTCAGCCCACCTCTGTCCACTGCCTTCACCCCACACCAACCTAGGGGGTCCTTTTTCCCACAGCCGACTCCAGCGAACCGACCATCCTTTCGAAACTCCCCCAAACACAGCCTTGTATCTGAGCCCACAGCTCCACCTCCAGGAGACCCTCTCCCCCAAGTCAGCTCCCCGCATGCTCACAGGTAAGTTCCTCTTCAAATGAGGGAATGTGACGCTCACCCCTAGAAACAAGGAGGCTCTGATATGAGTGTGCTGCCACCAGGTGGCGGCAAATGCCTTGTTCATGGTGTTCAAAAAAAGCATTTTTCCAAACCAGAACCAGGTTTTCATTCTAACTTTATAATATAAAATTGAAGAGAAAAATGTCAAAAGCCACCTGTAAATTCATTACCCTAATACGTTATCTCTCTTTGTGTCTTCTCATGTATGTTTTAGAATCATGGTTAGACGTTTACTAAGTCACTAAACTTAAGTGGTTTCAACGATCCCTGTCACTCACGCCACTGGGGCTGATTTAGGTCCAGCCTCAGAGCCAGAGAAGGAGACTGAAGGTCTGGGCTAAGGACAGCCATTCTCCCCGCCCCCATACACATACTTCCACAGACCCAGGGCCTGGGGGACTTCCCATCCTTCTTCTCCTCTCCTCCTTTCTGTTCTCACTTCTGGCCCAGGATCTGTCTGGGAAGCTGGTTACCCTGCCAGACCCCAGGATTCAGTTTCAGCAAGGGAGGGGGCCGAAATCTGTGTCTTACACAAGTGTGCCCCTCTCACCGCACCCCCTACCCCCGCCATGGCCAGGCTGATGTCCATGGCTCCTAACCTAGGGCCACACTTGAAGAGACATTTTCATCCTTTGACCTCCAGCCCCTGGCCAGTCCATCCTGGCCAGTCATGGCTCCAGGGCCACCTCAGCCTCAGCCCCCTCACCTGTACGGTGTCCCAAGGCCTGCAGCTGTGTGAGGGAGCTGCCCTGATGATCAGGGGCCAGACTGGCCAGGAGGCAACTGCCCAGCCTGGGTGGCAGCCACAGGCCTGCTGTGTGCTAAGGCCAGGACACCCACACCATGCCCCTGCAGCTCGTGGGCCGTCCTCCACTATGGGTGCTTGTGGGCAGGGCTGTGGCTCTGAAAACACTTGGCCCTCCTTCATCGGTCAGCTGCTTGCAAGGATGGTGGTGACCCTGTCATTTCTTGGGTACATACATGTCTGGCTGTGGGTCCCCTGGGGGCCGGGCCTGGCGCCCCCTGAGATGGCCTGGCCTCGGGCGGGCCTTGCCATGCCCACATGCCCCCTCGTCCCACCCCCACCCCCCCTGCATGGCCCCCACCTCCGTGCAGGGGCCCCAGACGCTCTGGGGCTGTCACAGTTTCCATTCCCGGCTGACGAGCCTCAGCTTCTCTCCACTGTGACCTCAGAGAGCTGAACAGGAGGCGGCACGCACCTGGGAAGCTGCTCCCCCAGCCCAGCCTCAGGGCCAGGAGGAGACCCCAGCCCAGTCCTGGGCCTCAGCCCTTCTGTTCCACGCAGGGGCTACGAACCTGGGCCAGCCATGGCCAAGTACGTCAGGATCCTCTATGATTTCACAGCCCGCAACGCCAACGAGCTGTCGGTGCTCAAGGACGAGGTCCTGGAGGTGAGCCGGGGCCTGGGATGGGGGTGGGGGGCTGCCCAGGAGAGGCAGGAGCCAGGATGCCCGATGCTGGCACACGGCACGCCTGTCCAATCCCTTTCCCCAGGACCCCCACCCCTGGGCTCCAGTCTGGGTGCACAGCCTGCCCCTTCCCCACCCCCAGCACAGCCTGGATGAGGGGCCTCCCTGTCTTGGGGATCTAAGAGGGGGCTCAGGGGCTCCTGTGCTGGGCTAAGCTGGGCTCACGTTGAAGGACAGGCCTTCTCTGTGCCAAGTGCAGACCCTCCAGCTCTCAGCCAGGGCTCGTCATTCACACCCACCCCTGGAGCCCCCTTGAGACACGGTCTGTTTGGTGCCAGTCCTGAATTCAGGCCACCCACTGGGGGACGGAAAGTGGAGCAGGCTGGCCCGGGTGGAGGGTGATCTATATGCAAAGGCTAGAGGCACCCTTGCTCTGGATGCTGCTGGAGAGGGGTAGGGGGAGATAAGGGAGGGATGGTAGCCTCTATGGGTGGGACAGAAGGTTGGGCAGGGCAGGGGCTCCTGGGAGGACTTGTGACTTCCCCACAGGATTGGGGGGAGGCGGGGCTTCGGAGGAAATGCCTAGAACTCTCTCTGGCCCACCTATAAAGAGGGGCTCATACACCCTGCGCTGGTGACCAGATGGGGGTGATGGTGGGGGTGGGTGCCTGCAGGTGCTCGAAGATGGCCACCAGTGGTGGAAGCTTCGCAATCGCAGTGGCCAGGCAGGCTACGTGCCCTGCAACATCCTGGATGAGACTCGGCTGGAGGACGCACCCCAGGAGCGGGTGAGTGCGAGGAGCGGGGGCTCTGCGGTCCCACCTCAGAGGGGGGATGGGCGGGTGCAGACCCGGCGCTGAGCCCCGGATTCCTCCGTGCCCGGCGGGGGTGGGGCCACAGGCCGGGTCCTGGGAGGGGGGGGCGGCGAGAAGGGATGCCTCACCTTCTCCTTATTACAACCCTGCGGGGAGGAATGATGAGCTGACGCTGAGGGCGCCCCCACCCCTTCGTCTCTTGCCCCCACCCCTGCAGGCCAGTCTGAAATATTGGGGTCCTGCCAGCCCCACCCACAAGCTGCCCCCAAGCTTCGCAGGGAACAAAGACGGTGAGAGGCGCTCTGCCAGGGCATGAGGGCCACCAGACGGGTGCGGGTACGGGGCCCTGAGCCCCTTGGGGGAAGCAGCGGGCGGAGGGTCCTCGAGCGGGGTGGGGGCGCTGCGGAGGGCGCCGGGTCGGCTCGCGGCGGGCCTGAGTGCCGGGCACCGCCCGCAGAGCTCATCCACCACATGGATGAGGTCAACGACGAGCTCATCAAGAAGATCAGCCACATCAAGGCGCAGCCGCAGCGGCACTTCCGCGTGGAGCGCAGCCAGCCGGTGGGCCTGCCGCTCACCTACGAGTCGGGCCCCGAGGAGGTCCGCGCGTGGCTGGAAGCCAAGGCCTTCAGCGCCCGGTGCGCGCGCGCGCGGGGGGCGAGGCGGGGCGCGGGGGCGGGGGGCGGGGCGGGCGCCCCGCGCTCACACCCGCCGCGCCCCGCCCCCAGGATCGTGGAGAACCTGGGCATCCTGACCGGGCCCCAGCTCTTCTCGCTCAACAAGGACGAGCTGAAGAAAGTCTGCGGGGAGGAAGGTATCCGCGTGTACAGCCAGCTCACCGTGCAGAAGGCGGTCCTGGAGGTGAGCCGGCCGTGCCACCGTCCTGCGCCTCCCCGCCCCCTCCTCCCTCAGGGCTCCTGGGTTGCCTGGAAAGCGGGAGGCCGGGGCCCCTGGCCTGTGGGCCCCTGAGCTGAGGCTGCCCCGCCCCCTCCCTAGAAGCAGCAAGGTGGGTCGGAGCTGGAGGAGCTCATAAGCAAGTTTCATTCCAAGACCCAGAGGAGGGTGGAGGACGACAGCTAGACCTGGCCAGCTGGGCCCAGCACACCTGCGGCTGGGGGACACGGAGATGCACCTGCGGAGAGGCCCACCCCCAGTGCATGGAGTATTATTTTTGTATGTGTGTATATTTTGGACCACGGACACGGGTGGTGGGTGGTGCTGGCTGGGAGCAGCTCACCTGCCTCATGGCACGTGGCCTGTCCTCGGGCGCAGCGATGCCTCAGCCCACACCCATCTGCCTGTCCCAAGGCCCACCTCCCCAAAACTAGCCACCTGGAGATGCCAGCCCCTCGTGCACCTGCCCCTGAAGCCGGGGCTGCAGCTTTTCCAGCCCCGCCCAGCCCCCTTCCTGGCTTTCATGACACCTCTCCCTGAGGCCACAGAACCCCCAGGAGGTAGGCAGGGACTTATCCTTTGGCCTCCTATCCACATGGGGGTTCCTCCTGGCACTTGTAACCCTGGCCCCAAACCTCACCCCTGTGGCTGCTACTTCTTCACGCACCTGCACCTGCACACCTCTGGATGGGCTGTGGGCCAGAAGGGCACTGACCTCAGCACCCTGGGCTCTGAGCTAGGCCTGGCCCCCAGATATCGCCCACAGCGCCCACCCAGCACACTGCTCCTCAAGGGTGGCCTGGGGGGCTCCAGGCTCCCCTGGGGTGGGGTGCATGCTGTTCTCCCTCCACCCATTCAAGGAGCATAGATGGACTGGACATGTACTCGTCCAAGTATGGCCTTAGACACCCACACACACCCAAGGCAGAGCTCAAGATAGGAACTTTCTGGCAGGCTTGCCCTGTGTGCCGTGGGGGTGGTGGGTGAGTCTTGGAGCACTGAACTCTGCAGGTTACACCCAGAGATGAGAGGTGGCCGAGGTTCCAAAGCCATGTCATTAAACCAATTAAGTATCCTAGCAGCCATGTGTCTGTCTCCTGGAGATGGGGATGGAGCCCACCTACGATTGCACGCTTTGTAAGAACCACTGGGCAGAGGCCAGGCCGTGGACATTTCAAGTGAGGCCATGTACCCCTGACTCAGTGGGGTTTCCCAGGAGCCCCTCACCTCCACATGTATCCGAGTGGGCCCAGAGGATATTCCTGGGAGGTGAGGAGCTGAGGGGGCCCTGCTCACTCTGCGTGCTGTGGCTCTCCCAGGCCAGATGTCCAGAAGGCCCAAAGACTGTAACCGAAGACGGGTGGCAGGCCCGGGAGCCAGGTCTGCCGGACCTCAGGGCGGGCCAGGGAGGGGCCTGAGTCTTGGCGGCAGGGCCGAAGCTTAGCCCCAGGCTGAGGGAGGTGCCCTGGAGAAGGGCCTTGACAGATAGGGACCAGGTTGGTGGTCAGCTCTGAGGTGTCAGTACAGGAGTGGAGGGGTCCCTGAGCACACAGTGGGCTGCACTCTGCACCTCGAGGACACCAGGCCACCAGGCCAGTGCCCACCTGAGCTCATCCAGGGCCCCACCCTTGGAGGAGGCCTCTGGCACCCTCTGCTGGCGGCTCTGCGCGCTGTGCTGTGGGCAGTCCAGGGGGCACCCTAGGACCTGGCCAGATGGGGGCATCTTGATCTGCATTTCCCCAAAGCAGCTGGGGGCCCCGCCCTGGGTAAGGGTGTCTGGAGGGCTCATTCCTGGGGTCTCTGTGTGGTGGGCAGGGGCAACCGCAGGGAGCGCGATGCAGAAGCTGTGCCTTGTGGGATTGGGGTTAGAGATCTAGAGCCGTCTGTCAGCTGGTCTGCCACGGAGCCAGGCCCAGCCCCCAGGCCTCAGGAGCCCCGACTCTAAGCTAGGACTGTCCTGTCCACCAGGACCTGGTCAGGGGGAGCTGGGCCACCTCTGGGCCTTGAGCACCATGGCTTCCTCTCCCCAAGAGAGGAAGGTCCTCCCCAAGCCCCAGGCCAAAAGAGGAAGGTTGGTCCTCCCAGACCCAGGCAGGACCTCGCAGACAGGGAAATAAGACCCAGAAGGAAAAGGGGAGGGATGGGGTGCCGGCTGTCCCTCCAGAAACCTGCAGATACTCCTCGTCCAGAACCACCAGGAGGGATGGGCCCCTGACTGGAGCACCCCCCACCAGCCCTATTTGGCTGAGCCCCTCCTTTGGAGCAGGGATGGGCACCCCCAGCTCCACCTGCTCTGAAGGGGGCCTCTGCTGGCCCAGTGGTGCTCACACTAGAACAAGCTCAGAGGGACTGCTCCTGGTCATGACCCCACCCGGCAGGGCTCTGCCTTCACCAGGACGGTGGTGCTGGCTGGGCTTTGGGGACACTACCTCCAGGCTGGGTCGCTTATCCCTTGGGAGCCTCAGAACCTACACCTGTTCCCTTGCCCGTCTCTCCCTCCCCTCCTCCATCCCATCCACAGGCCACCACTGCTCTGTCCCCCTCTGTCCCCACTGTGCTCCCTGGACAGCTTGAGGAGGACCTGATCTCCAAGACCCCAAGCCCCTGGTTCCCTAGCTCCCGGCAGCCCTAGGCCAGCTCCCATTACCCAGGAGCTGCTGGTTCCAAGATGCTCTGGACCCACCTGTCTGCTGGGCCTCTGGGCTCCTGGAAGAGGCTTCCCCACCACTTCCTGGGAGGCGAGAGTGGTGGGCCCAAAGTCGCATGGCCTTTAGGGTAGGTGTGACGACATGAGGGCATCATTGTCCAAGGCCACCAGATTGGGGGATGACTGAGCTCTACCCACTTTGGCATCCTGGTGATCTCAGCGTCCATAAAAGTAGACTTGGATGAAGAACAAGGCCCAGAGGGGCCAGGTCACCTGCCCAGAGCCCCAGAGCTGGGGAGGAGCTGGGCTCCAGTGCAGTTTGGCCTGATCTGTGCCCCTAACCACACACCTCCTCATCTCCCACAACAGGCTGGCCAAGCAGGGAAGAGGGAGGGTCCGGTGGTGGCAGCCCCAGTGGTGGCGGGGACTGCAGAGGGTGTGCCCATGGGAGCGTCCCGCTGGGCAAGGGGGCTGAGCTGCCCGCCCAGCGTCCACTCTGTGCCCAGCTCTGCTGCCAGCAAACATCCCCACAAACAAGGCCCGTCTCTGTTTTGGGCACAGGCATGTCTTTGTGGCCCTCCCCGGACCAGCTGGCTCCATTTGCCCCCTCTCCTACACAGAGCGGCCAGGAGGCAAAAGCAGCTTCTTCTTCTTTTTTTAAAGATTTTATTTATTTGACAGAGAGAGAGCACGCACAAGTAGGGGGAACGGCAGAGGGAGAAGCAGGCTCCCCGTGGAGCAAGGAGCCCAATGCCGGGCTCCATCCCAGGACCCTGGGATCATGACCCGAGCCGAAGGCAGATGCTTCACCAACTGAGCCACTCGGCGTCCCCAAGTGGGGTCTCTTTAAGAAGAGTCTTTTCTTTTTTTTTTTTTTAAAGATTTTATTTATTTATTTGTGAGAGAGAGAATGAGAGAGAGCACATGACAGGGGGGAGGGTCAGAGGGAGAAGCAGACTCCCCGCCGAGCAGGGAGCCCGACACGGGACTCGATCCAGGGACTCCGGGATCATGACCTGAGCCGAAGGCAGTCGCGTAACCAACTGAGCCACCCAGGCGCCCAAGAAGAGTCTTTTCTTTGTCCTTTCTATTTTACTTTTTCAAAATATGTAATTTACCAAGAGGTTAGTGCATAGAAGGGCCAGCACGAGGGGTAAGACATCCCTCACACCTGTATCAAGAGGCCAGAGATAGAATGGAGGCAAGAGGGGCACCTGTTTCCTGGACCAGGTGGCACTTGGCAGGGCTGACAGCAGCTAAGAGAGGACTCACGGGAGAGGGCGGCACTGAGAAGGTGGCTCTGTGTCTGGAGAAACAGAGAGACGACCCTATGACTCTCCCCCACAAGCATGAGAGAATCCCAGAGGCATTAAACCATTCACGTGAGAGGAAAATTATCAGGTTCCTGGAAGAAAATGTGGGAAACATCTTTGTGATGAAGCTGAGGAAGAATTTTCTGTGCAACACTTCAAAATGAGCTGATGAGTTTGGCTTCATCAAATTGAGGATGTAGCTCGCCAGTGGCCCACGGGCATGGCTGACGGGGAGCCAGGGAGCCCGAGGCTTCGCCAACAGCGGGGCCCACCTGCAGCACACGCCGGCAGCAGGCCTGGGGGGTGCACCGTCCCACGGGGGCCCCAGACTCTTTCGGGGGCCCTGAGCTCTAAGCTAGTTTCCTAACAACACAGAAGTGTGTTGAAGGTTGAATTGTGCCCCCATCCCGCAGATTCATACAAGATAGGGTCGTTAGGTTGGGCCTTAATCCCCATGACGGCTGTCCTTGTAATAAGGACACTGGACAGGTGCACCCGTCACGGGAAGGTGGAGGCAGAGGTGTGATGGGTCATCTACAAGACGAGAAGCATCAGCGATGGCCTGCTACCTGCAGCAGGGGTATGAGCAGAGAGAACCAGCCCAGCCAGCACCTGATCCCAGACGCCGGCCTCCCGAATTCCTGCTGCTTAAGCCTGGCATTTGATGGTGCTTTGTTATGGCCATCCCAGGGATGATACAAAGTGAGTCTTCGCCTTTTTTACCTGGCTATGGTATAAAAGCTGCCCTGTTGCGGGGGGGAGGGTGCAGGGGCTGTGGGCTCCTTTGCAAGGATCCGGCTTGGCGGCTGGGCCGAGGACCCTTCCCCACCACACACTCCGTGGGGCGGGCGCGGAAGTCCCCGTGAACAACCATCCCTAATCTCACTTCATCCAGCCTCGGCCCGAGCGGAGGCCGGACCGGCCAGGCCGCCCCAGGAAGCGGTGTGAGCCGCCCTGGCCCCTCGGGGGACCCGCCGGCCGCCATGCTGTGGGTGCTCAGACCTGGGATCTTGGCAGCCCTTCTCCCCGAAATGAGCGAGGATCCCTGTCACTTCAAGGAAAACAGCGTCTTTGTTGCCATGGGGAGTCCGAGCCTCCAAGCTAGGAGTGTGGAGCCCCAGGCAAAACAGGTTTTAAGGCAAGTCTCACCTGCCCCAGCCCGAGGCTGCAGACAAGGGCAGGCCACACCTGGAGGGGCACACACGGCTGCACACAGGGGCCTCCCGCCACGGCCACGCGGGTAGGACAGTACGGAGTGACTCCTTCGGCCCCAGCCAAGCCTGCAAATGATGCAGCCTCAGGCCCTGAGCCAGAGCCCCCCAGCGAGGCCACTCCCAGATTCTTCTTAGTTTTTTGTTTTGTTTTTTAAGATTTTATTTATATGACAGAGAGAGACACAGCGAGAGGGAACACAAGCAGGGGGAGTGGGAGAGGGAGAAGCAGGCTTCCTGCGGAGCAGGGAGCCCGATGCGGGGCTCGATCCCAGGACCCTGGGATCATGACCTGAGCCGAAGGCAGACGCTTAACGACTGAGCCACCCAGGCGCCCCAGATTCTTCTTAGTTTTTAATCCTGGTAAAATACACAGAACATAAAATGTACTGTCTTCACCATCTCTAAGCCCACAGCTCAGGGGCACTAAGCACATTCCCACTGTTGTGCAGCCATCCCCACCACCTGTCCCCAGAACTTTCCATCTTCCCAAACTGAGACTCTGTCCCTGAGTCACCAACCCCCATCCCTCCCCTGGTGTCTACCATCCACTCTCTGTCCCCCTGAGTCACTGACCCCCGTCCTCCCCCGGCGCCCACCGTCCACTCTCTGTCCCCCTGAGTCACCGACCCCCATCCCTCCCCCGGCGCCCACCGTCCACTCTCTGTCCCCGAGTCACCAACCCCACCCTCCCCCGGTGCCCACCGTCCACTCTGTCCCCCTGAGTCACCAACCCCACCCTCTCACGGCGCCCACCGTCCACTCTCTGTCCCCGAGTCACCGACCCCCATCTCTCCCCCGGCCCCAGTGCCCATCGTCTGCTCTCTGTCCCCCTGAGTCACCGACCCCCGCCCCTCCCCCGGCGCCCACCGTCCACTCTGTTCCCTGTGAATCTGGAGACTCTAAGGACCTCATGTGGGGGGAATCCTGCAGTACTTGTCCCTCTGTGTCTGGCCTATCTCACTCAGCATCACGTCCCCCAGGTCCACCCACGCTCTGGCAGGTGTCAGCGTGTCCCTCCGTGTTCAGGCTGAGTGATGTGGTTCGGTGTGTGGATGGACCACGTTTATCCGCTCGTCCGTCGACGACGCTTGGGCTGCTTCCCTGTGTCGGCGGCTGTGAACGTGGGTGTGCAAGCATCCACTCGCGTCCCTGCTTTCGGTTCTCTGGGTCAATACCTAGAAGAGGAATCGCTGGAACACACGGTCACTCCATTTTCAGCTGTTTGAGAACCGCCACGCCGTTTTCCACGGCTGCTGCACCGGCTTCCTTTCCCGCCGAGTGTGCGGGAGGGTCCACCCTGCACGTGCTCCCACTCGCGGGGTTTCTGCCGTCAGTGGACAATAGCCGTCTTCAGGGCCGCAGGCGGGTCCTCGCCGTGGCTCTGATGTGCGTGTCCCTGATGAGCAAGGACGTGGGCATCTCCCCTGCTGGCTGGCCAGTTGTAGGTCTTCCCTGGGCAGACGTCGGCTCCAGTCCCCCGCCCATCTTTGAATCAGGTTGTTGTTTTATTGTTGAGATTTAGGAGTTCTCTGTATGTTCTGGAAACTAAGCCCTTACCAGATGCGTGACTTGCAAATATTTTCTTCTATTTCATGAGGTCTCTTCCCAGCCTGTTGATGGTGTCCTTTGACGCACAGAAGTTTGTAAATTTTTGGTTTGCAATCTCATTTCTTCTTTGGAGTTAGGGTTGAGGGGAAACAGAGGTTGTTTCCAAACAGAGGAATAAACTTTTCTGCTGAGTTTGTATCCTGAAAGTTTTTTTTTTTAATTTTTTTTAAATTTATTTATTCATGAAAGTCAGAGAGAGAGGCAGAGGCAGAAGCAGAGGGCGAGAAGCAGGCTCCCCGCCTAGCAGGGAGCCCGATGCGGGACTCGATCCCAGAACCCTGGGATCATGACCTGAGCCGAAGGCAGACGCTTAACCATCTGAGCCACCCAGGCGCCCTGTCTCCTGAAAGTTTTAAATAAGCAGCAGAGGAGGGGGAAGATAGGCAGCTGGTAAACTGGGGCCCAGGGTCGCCACCCCCCTTCCATGTTGGCCCCCAGACATCCTGTTCCAAACGAAAGTACAGTAGGGAAGGCAACTATCCCACTCTTCTTATTCTGCTCATTAATGATCGAGATGAGGGGATAGAGAAGGAGGTGCCACCCATGTCCCCAAGACCCGGGGCACAGGTCCATCCGTTCTGAGGTAGGTTCCCTGACGAGGAGAACAAAGGTGAGAGAAATGTCCCTACAACCTGCCGCCAGCTGATAAATCCCTGAGCGTGACCTTCCTCCAGGAGCTCATGGCCGCCTCAGTGTTGATGTTTTACTGGGCACTAAACGCAACCTTATCCTGACGGCACCGGCCGTCCTCAGTCCTGTAAACCTCCCGTTCTGCATACAGAAGCTCCTTGCAAACTTACGCTGTCCCCACCCCCACTCTGCCCTCTCAAAAGTGTATCATCAGCCACTCCTTACGACCCCGGTGCAGCCCCTCCTGCCCACGGGCCTGTCCCCGCACTTTAATAAAACCACTTTTTTGCACCAAAGTCGTCTCAAGAATTCTTTCTTGGCCGCTGCACCCAACAGCCCCGCACCACCTAAGACCGCTATGAGTAGAAGCTTCTAGAAGGCTGTCGCTGACAATGACGACAAGGTGTGTGAACCAGACTGATGCCAACGCGGACAGACCCTCCGAGATGACCGCTCCTGACAGGAAGCCTTCTTGAGCACGGACCCCCGCCTCCCCACGCATTACTTTCTGTCCAACTGATGCAGTTTCGGAATGTTGGTGGTGATGGGGTCCGGAGCCGGTGGCCGGGAAAGAATTCTTGAGTCGTCTTCGGTGCAAAACGGAGGTTTTATTAAAGCGCGGGGACAGGCCCTTGGGCAGGAGGAGCTACTGCCCCTGCTGCCCTGGGATTACGAGGAGTAAGTGATTCTCTACCTTGGGGTTGGGAGAAGTAAAGAGGAAGGATGTTCCCAAAGGACTTTGGTTTGTTAAAGAAAACTGACACCTCGGAGGAATGTTATAAGCTGCCTGTCTCAGGTATATGTCAATGGGCTGCAGGTTACAAGGACATTTAATTTTATTTGTTTCCCACGTCACAAACACACCTTAAGTACGTCCTCGGGGCATAATAACGTCAGGGTTCTGAAACTCTCTTCCTGATCCTCTCCCCCTATCAGGCCCAGCCTCCAGGGCTATAAAAGCAGGTCTTCCCCCAGGCGGGTTTACGGGGATGCACTCCTCCCACAAGCTTCTGTCCGCAAATCCCCTTCCCGAGCCAGGGAGGAAGCTTGGAGTTCGCTCCCCTGAGATGAGTGGCCTGTGATTTCCTACACCCGCCCGGGGCCACCCTCGGGGGCGTGAGCACGCTCTTCTGCCCCAAGCTCTCGCCCCCGCCAGCCAGCAGCGCACCCCGGGGACGCTCACGGACGGCTCCCAGCCCAGCAGCCTCTGCTTGGCAGAGCTTTGAGGGGCAAGAGCAGAGCCCTGAGCAGGGGTGCCGCCCTGGGGAGGCCATGCCTCGCTGCGCCCGCCCGCGCCACCTGCCACCTGCTTGACTGGCCTGTGCTGCCCTCTGGTCACTGCTGTGAAACGCTGGGTGGCCTGTTAGCACACAGGCCCTGTCCTGCCATCCCCACGGCCACGGACAGAAAAGCCAACGTGCACTTGTCCAATTGGGTCAGCGCCTTTGGTGTCACATCCAAGAATCACAGTGCTTCTGGATTTTGACCTACAGGAACGGAACGGTGGGGAATGTCTGCTGTTTTAAGCCATGCTGTTCTGGGGTAATTTCTCAAGCAGCCATAGGTAACTCGTAGGAGGGTTCTCTTCTGTTATTACTACTGATGTGAAGGGTTGGGGTCCAGGAGCCAACGGTCAAGAAAGAATTCTTGAGACGTCTTTGGTGCAAAAAAAAGGTGGTTTGGGGTGCCTGGGCGGCTCAGTCGGTTAAGCGTCTGCCTTTGGCTCAGGTCATGATCCCGGGGTCCTGGGATCGAGCCCCGCATCGGGCTCCCTGCTCCGCGGGAAGCCTGCTTCTCCCTCTCCCACTCCTCCTGCTTGTGTTCCCCCTCTCTCTCTCTGTCAAATAAATAAATAAAATCTTTAAAAAAAAAAAAAGGTGGTTTTACTAAAGCAGGGGGACAGGACCCGTGGGCAGAAAGAGCTGCTCTGGGGTTGTGAGGGGGCACTGATTATCTACTTGGGAGTTGGGAGGGGGTTAGGGACACTGTAAGTCTCTAAGGAATTTGGAAGCAAGGTTTCCAGGACCCCAAGGGGTCATTTACTACTGTCTAGTAAAGCCTTAGTCATGAGACCCTTCAGATGCACACAGTGAGCCATATGTTTGGAGGATGATTGCCAACATGTATCTTGGGGGGGTTGGGCAGACATAAAAGAATTTTCATACATTAAGAAAGACTTGGGGCGCCTCGGTGGCTCAGTCGGTTAAGCATATGACTCTTGGTTTTGGCTCAGGTCATGATCCTAGTGTTGTTGAGTTCAGGCCCCATGTCGGGATCCACGCTGGGTGTGGAGCCCACTTAAAAAAAAAAAAGACTTACAGGATCCTGGAGGTCAGGCTAATGTCAGGCTAAGATTGCCTTTTGCCCTTAGCAAATGATTCACAGAGGCAGCTGAGTTCCTGGAGGAAGGGCACCCCGCCTGTCTCAAGGCCTTGTCAGTGGGCTATAAGTTATGAGGAAGTTTAATTTTTCTTTCTCTATTTCTTTTGCCTTTGTTCCTCACACTGTTGCCAATGAGAGTGGTTGTCTAAATCGCCTGCCTGGGCCGGTCTCACCCGTCCTAGCCTGACTCAGCCCCACCCCCAGCCACTGCTCAACCCGGTCCCCTCCTCCCCCAGCTCAGCCCCCTTCGCCACCGCAGTGCCCCTGCTGTCTCCTCACGTTGCCCTGGCCAAGCCCCGTCTTGGTCAAATCTAGCCTCCACCTTGCCACACCTGCCCAGAGAAGCTGGAGGGACCGGGGGCCGCCCTGGCTGAGCCACATGGCCCCCATCCCTCCTCCCCCATTGTCCCCCCACTGCCCTCTCAGTCTCCAAAGCAGTGAAGGGTCATAGAGCACATAGAGCCCCATGTGCCCCCTCTGTGCCCAGGTCTGCTGTCCGTCCTGCCTGGTGACAAAAGCCACGCCTGCTTGAGGGCCCAGGATCCCAGCCCTCGTCCACCCAGGCCCCAGGCTACGCAGGCCCCGCTCCTCTCCTGTGACCAGCCATAATGCCCTCATTTCTCGGGGGGGGCCACCAGCCGAGCTCCCTTCCCTGTAACACCCCCCAAAGCACTGAGTGTGCACTGACTCCACGCCTCCTCCCTCCTCCCTTCCACCCTGCACTGCCTGCGGTGGGTCAGCAGTGAGGCCCTGCCAGGAGGCCCTGGAGCTCCTCCTCCCCACCCCCAGGGTGTCTGGCTCTCCCCGCCTTGGGCAGCTCCTTCCCCTACTGCCCTGACTTCCTATCCTCCCACGCCCAGTGCCTCTCCAGGCTAACCCCAGACCTGAGCTTGAGACCTCTCACCCCCTGCTGCTCAGCTCTGGGCACCAAGGTACCCTAAGCCAGAGGGTCCCCCTGCCCCCCACCCCTGACTTGCCCCCTCCCCTACAGCCAGCTCCTCAGCAGATCCAACACTGCTTGCAGCCTCTCGGGCCGCGCTCTGGTCACTGTCCCTGCCCACCCTCACCACCTCCGGCTTGCACCCTTGCTCCCTTGCTCCCTCAGTCTGACACAACACAAGGCCCAGAGAGACCCTTTAAACCCTAAGTCCTACGGCGTCCCTCCCCCCACCCTGTGTCCAAGCTCTGCCAGCTCGACTGAAGTCCCCAGCAAGGGCTGGATGGTCTGCAGTGCCCTGCCTGGCTCTCCTCCAGACCCTGGAGCCTTTTGCTCAAAGGCCAGCTTCTCAGCGAGGCCTCCCTGAGGCCCACCCCCACTCTTCCCAGGCCGATGACCTCTGCCCCATGGGGCTTCCTTGTCCCCACCCCCAGGTCAGCCACGTGTGTTCCTTCTCGGCACCCAGGAGGAGCTCAGCTGCTGTTGAAAGAAGGGATTTGGGGACACTCCGCGTGAGGTGCCGTGTCACACGCCTGGAGCTCTGTTCTGCAACTGCTCGTGGGCAGCCCGCCCACCGCTCCTGGTATTTGGCCATTGATCTTGTTTCCTGTCACTCTCTCTTTGCCTTCTTTGCCTGGTTCCCTGTGGATGGTTCTGCAGGCCCAGCCAGGCCATTGGACTGTCTTGGTCTGGTGGGAGCAGGAGTCCAGCCCCTCCAGGAACGCCAGGCTGTATGGCCGCGGTCATTCACTGCTTCCGAGGACTGCGGTGAAGCTGGACCGCCCCAGGGCAGCCGCTTGCTCACTGACCCAGCCGGACCTGTCCCCAGCGCCCATTGTACCCGGCACGTGGGTGGAAGTGCCACCAAGGTTCCTAGGGGTACCCTGCAGCCCATGCAAGAGGGCCCTGGGCGTCATCCTTGCCTTCCACTGCCTGGGCCTCCAGGGTCAGGGATTAGGAGTGTCCTGGGAAGGAGCTGAGCCAGGACAGGCTGAGGCACAGACGCTGGGCCCCGGGCCCCCACCCCAGCCCGCCTGGATGGGGTCAGAGCTGGCCAGCAGGCATCCAGATCTTCTCCCCTCCTCACCCTCTCCTCCTATAACCCTGAGGCTTTGGCTTCACCCCTACACCTCTGCCCCTCAAACACTGGGCCCTCATCCATGTGGTGGTATGGTGACTTACGGGTCCTTCTGGGTTCTAGGGGTCCTCCCTCTCCTGAGGCATACAAATGCCCCGGGATCATGAAGTGGGCTGCAGGCAAGCTAACACGCCTTCGTCATCTCTGCAATGCCACCTCCTTGCTCTCAGCCTCCTGCCAGGGACATTGCTGCCTTTTCTGGGGCAGGGACTGAGCTGATCCAGGCCCAGCATAGCCTGCCCCTCCAGGGAGCTGTGTGACCCACAGAATGGCCCCAGCCCATTATCTGTGTGAAGTGAGGCCCCAGGTACCCCTAGGAGGGCATCCCATGACGACTGCAAGTATAGGGTGATGATCTGAGTTTTTTTTTTTTTTTTCTAAAGGAAGTGCACTTTTTTTTTAAAGATTTTATTTATTTATTTGACAGCGAGAGACACAGGGAGAGAGGGAACACAAGCAGGGGGAGCGGGAGAGGGAGAAGCAGGCTCCTCGCTCGGCAGGGAGCCCGATGCGGGGCTCGATCCCAGGACCCCGGGACCATGACCTGAGAGGAAGGCAGACGCTTGACGACTGAGCCCCCCAGGCGCCCCTACTGATAATATCTTTAATGGCTTATTCCTTTTTAAGGTCTGGTTATTTTCTGTTGATCACAGGAGACTGTCATAAATAAGATTCCCCTCTCAGACACCTAGGGCAGGGTGGTCTGGAGTGTTCCCTTATCTCTGGTTTCCTTACAACCTCAAATTTGGGGATTTCTTTGAGACTGACCTCGGAGCCCCCTATCTCTCTCTCCCTACCTAGCCCGCCTGTCCCTTTCTCAATGGGGCGCCCCGTGGGAGCTCTGACGCCCGGGGTGGGGGGGATGGGGAGCATCACGCCAGGGTCCAATCACTCCGGGGGACACACCGCTCAGGGGCGCATCGCTCCGGGAAGTGCATCATTGGAGGCGGGCACGCCGTTTGGGGGGCACATAGCTCCGGGAGCGCATCCCTCGGGGGGCACAGCTGGCGATGAGGAGGGGACACCGCTCTAAGGATGCAGGGCTCGAGGGAGAGAGGAGCACGGATGCCCGGCCGCGGTCTCCCGGCGGTACTGCCCCCGAACCTGGGCGTGGTCTCGGGGCGGGGCGGCGCCCTGTGGCGGACGCGCCGTCGGCCCCGCCCTCCGCGCCGCTCCCGGATTGGCTGGCATGCAGGTGCCCCCGGGGCATTGTGGGCCGCCGCGCTCGGTCTCCGCTTCGCCATGTCGGGCTCCCCCGTGAAGCGGCAGAGGATGGAGAGCGCGCTGGACCAGCTCAAGCAGTTCACCACCGTGGTGGCCGACACGGGCGACTTCCGCGGTGAGGCGCGCGGGGCCCCGAGCTCCGGGACGCGCGCCGACTGGCCGTGCTGGGGGCGCATGTTCGTGGACGTTGAGAGCCGGCGGGGCCCGGGGCGGGCACCGGGGAGGGGGCCCGGGGGGGCGCGGGCCCGGGGGGGGGCATCGGGAGTCCTGAGGGGGCGCGGGCCCATGCCCGGAGGTGAGGAGGGGGCGCAGGGGCTGGGGAAGGGGGCAGGGGTGAGGGCACGGGGCTCCCTCCGAGCTGTTGGAAAGCCCTGGGGGGAGCCTCCAGCGTCAGTGGGTCCTGGGAAGCTTGCAGGGCTTTTGCGCCGAGGAGGAGGTTCGAGGTGGAGCTGGAGCGAATTTCGGCCCAGACCACTTGGCAGATGGTGACTCCTGAGCAGGAACTCGAGTTAGTTCTGGGCCCAGAAAGACCAGAAATGACAGGCCGGCTTTTGTAATCTCCTGTTGCACATACTTTGCACCCTGCTCGGGGCAGCCCGGCGGCCCAAGGCGGGGCCGCGGAGCCCGCGGGCAGAACGCAGTGCACGGAGGAAAGCGAAGTTCCGGTACCGGGGACCTGCCGTTGCTGGGTTTGCGTTGTGCTGGTGGGAGAGAAGTGGGGAAGGATCATCCGTCGGTCCTGAGAGTGCCCAGCCTGAACGGGCCCCCGCCCTGCTCTGCTGTGAACAAACAAGATTTTCAGGAAAACCGTGAAAGGCTGCACCGAAATGAGCACTGTAGAACTGACTTCCTTTCTTTTCTGCTTTCTCACGGCGGCTTGAGAAACAGGCTTTATTAGTTCTCTTTGGTAACGCTGAGTAAGAGGATTGTTTATCTAGCTGAGCGGAGGAGAGCGAACACCCACTTTCGGCGGCTTACCCGATCACCGTCGGTCCGGCCTGTAGGCTGTCAGACGTCCCCCCGTGGGCTGGCTCTGGGGGAGCTCCTGCTCCCGTGCCCTTTCATCAGACCTCTGGGCACTGACCTAAGTAGGATAGAGTGTGCTGGAAACGTGGCCGCACCTTTTCTGTGCCTGTTTCCACTTCCTCTTTTCTTTTTTTTTAAGACTTTATTTATTTATTTGACAGAGAGAGACAGCGAGAGAGGGAACACAAGCAGGGGGAGCGGCAGAGGGAGAAGCAGGCTCCCCGAGGAGCAGAGAGCCTGATGCAGGGCTCGATCCCGGGACCCTGGGTTCAGGACCGGAGCCCAAGGCAGACGCTTCACCAGCTGAGCCACCCAGGCGCCCCTCTGTTTCCCCTTCTTAACACTTAGAATCATTTTCCCTCTTTGCTTCTTTGCCAGAGCCTTGGTCTGTATTGCTTCCTGTGGCTCTCCCTGGAGAGGAGCCTTGGGGGAACACTTGTTCTTTTTCCCTTCCTAGAAATATCTAAATCCATGTGCTGACATTTTTCATTTTAATGAATATTCGCAACTTTGTAAGAATACAGTAGTTAATGATGTATACCCATAAACATGGCATAGTTGCAAATCCAGCATTTGGTTTTGTGGTCATTTTATGAACTGAAGTTTCTTACCTTTGGCAGGGGCTGGGGGGTGGGTCCTAGGCTGCTGTGAAAATATAATCAAAGCCATGGATACCCTCCCCAGAACAGTGCCCCCGCCCCCTGCAGTTTCACATTCAATTTAAGGGTCCCTGGACCCTAAAGCCCATCTGTTGACCCCAGCTGAGTATTACTTTTGTTTTTAAGTTTGTCAGAAGTCAACCTTGTCAAGGCCTAATTTTATGTAATAAAAGGCACTATTCAGTACATCCCTCCATGAGATTTGAGCCTGCAAAAATACCAGTCCAGAACATTTTCTTCCTTCCTTTTTTCCTCCCTCCCTCCCTTCCTTTTTCTCTTCCTCTCTTCCTCTCTTTCTGTCTTTCTTACAGGCTCCATGCCCGGTGTGGAGTCCAACATGAGGCCTGAACTCCTGACCCTGAGATCAAGACCTGAGCTGAGAGGCACCTGGGTGGCTCAGTCGGTTAATTGGTGGGCGCTTGATTTCAGCTCAGGTCATGATCTCAGGGTGGTGAGATGAGCCTCGCATCAGCCTCCACACTCAGCAGGGAGTCTGCTTGAGAGTCTCTCTCCCTCTGCCCCCCCATCTAAAATAAATAAATAAATCATTTTTAAAAATATTTATTTATTTATTTATTTTAGAGAGACAGAGTGGGAAGTGGGGAGGGGCAGAGGGAGAGAGACTCTCTGAGCAGACAGACTCCCTGCCGAGCGTGGAGCCTGATCCAGGGCTTGATCCCGTGACCCTGAGATCATGACCTGAGCCAAAACCAAGAGTCGGATGCTTAACCGACAGAGCCACCCAGGGGCCCCAGGAGCACTTTCTCTTAAGTTATTACTTTGAAATATAGACTCACAGGAAGTGGCCAAATTAGCCTGTCGAGTCCCATGCATCCTTCACCTGCTGTCCCCCAGTGGCGATACGCTCTGTGACCGTGGTGTGAGGTTGGCACCAGCACGACCCTATAAAGAGGCTGCAGGCCTGGCCCCGTTCACCATGCAAGCCTGAGTGGGGGTGGGGCACGGCATTCCCCGCAGTGGTTTCACAACATGAACAGATTCGGCCCCTTGTGCGCCGGACAGCCGCCCCCCTCCCTGTTCTCGGCAGCCGCCAGTCGGTTCTCCATCTCTGTAGTTTTGTCATCAAAGCATCCTTTGAAAGCACGAGTCTGCCAAATGGATTTACTGAGCCCGCTAATGGTCTGGAGCAGATGTGTTTGTGAGGGTGCGTGGCCGTGGGCTGGCTCAGCCTCTGGTCGGCGAGCCTGCAGGTTGGGCTCCGCGGGTTTCCTGTCATTGCCGGCTTGTTACTAAGAGCTGACGTGGTGCGGGAAGGAAGAAGGCCGTGCGTGGGTGCAGCCGCGTGCCCTCACTGTCGCTGGCCTGGGCGCCAGGCGCCTGCCCGTGCTAGTTTGGCCGCAGGAAGTGCCCTCCGGCTGTGCCCGCTGCCTGCCTCGCCCCACAGTGGGAAAGTCAGCTCCTACAGGGGCACCTCGGATCTCTGGTCCCATCTTGGTAGCACCTGTGTTGTGCAGACAGCCTCTGGGACAGGGAGATGCGGTGAAGTGCCCCCGCTCCCCGGCTGGAAAACACGCTGGCCTCGGCTGGTGGGCGTGGGGCTTAGAGGGGCTCTTCCGTGGCAGAGGAGCACTCCACTCACTCTCCTGCTGTCCAAAATTCTCTGCCTAGCCATCGAAGAGTACAAGCCCCAGGATGCCACCACCAACCCTTCCCTGATGCTGGCTGCGGCGCAGATGCCAGCCTACCAGGAGCTGGTGGAGGAGGCCATTGCTTACGGCCGGCGGCTGGGCGGGTGAGCTGGCGGGGGGGGGGGGGCGCAGTCGGCCACACTGGCCCCCGGCTGTTACCTCCTTAACGGCATTTTAGTTCTTGGATGTCTTAGACTCAAGGAAAGAAAGCTGGGTTTCTTTATGTTTATTTATTTATTTTTAAAGATTTTATTTATTTATTTGAGAGAGAGAGAACGAGAGACAGCTGGAGAGGGAGGAGGGTCAGAGGGAGGAGAAGCAGACCCCCCACCGAGCAGGGAGCCCGATGCGGGACTCCATCCCGGGACTCCAGGATCATGACCCCAGCGGAAGACAGTCGCTTAACCGACTGAGCCACCCAGGCGCCCCTCTTTATGTTTATTTTTATCAACTTTATCAAAGTGTTATTTACATGTAGTAAACTGCCACCGTAGTAAGTGTCCAGTTCAATGAATTGTTTACAGGACCGTGTACTCCCTACAAACACCACCCCAGTTAAAGTGCAGCACCCCAAAGTCCCCTTGCCCCCTTTAGGGTGGTGAGTGTCCCGGCCCTGGCAGGCACTGACCTGCTCTCTGTCGTTTTATCGTCTTGTAACAGCTTTGCTGCAGGAAGATTCGCTAAGTGCTCAGTTCAGTTTGTTCTGGTAAATTTTTTCAGTGGTGCAGCTGTCACCGCAATCCAGTCTAGAATGTTCCCTGGTGCCCATTCACAGTCCGTGCCTGCTCCTCCCCCAGGCAAGCGCAGGCTGGCTTTCCTCGCCCTTTCCCTGATGGCACTTTCCATCTCCATGGGGGTGATAGTGCCCCGCTGGGCGGGTACCTGCAGGAACCAAGGCACAGGCCGCGTGCGGGAGTGCGGTGCTTGCCGAGTCCTGAGTCCACCCTGCCCTCCACCACACAGCCCGTTGCAGCCAACTGCCTTTCCCTTCTCCAGAGGCTTGCCCTTGCACCTCGTTGCATCGGCAAGGCCTTGGTGCTGTCCCCCGTCCAGCTGCCCCGCGGGTCCTCGCCCATGATGGGCGGGCTGGAGATCGTCCCATGTGCGTTGGGCTAGTGAGGAGCCCTGGGCAGTGGGCCATTTTGGAATACCACGGTGCACTTCACTCGCCTGCCCAGGCAACTTCAGAGAGATTGAAAGGATTATTTTTGTCTAGTGCCATAAGATAGAGGGATTCAATTTGGAATGATGAAAAGTTCCAGAGACGGATGGTGGGGATGGCTGCACGGTGTAAACATACCTAATGCCCCCGAGCTGTGCACCTAGACATGGTTAAAATGATGAATTTTATGCTGTGTGTATTTTACCACAAGTAGGGAAAAAAAGAAGATGAAGGGAAAGGAATTTGCTGCAAAGGAATGAGAGAATTTGTTTTGTAGAATCCTGTGCACTTAAACCTAAAAGCTTTTGACCTAATTTTTTTCCCTTGAATTTCAGGTCGCAAGAGGAACAGGTTAAAAATGCTATCGATAAACTTTTTGTGTTGTTTGGAACAGAAATATTAAAGAAGATTCCAGGCCGTGTATCCACAGAAGTGGATGCCAGGTAAGGACTCAGGGTCCTTGGGGTCAAGGGGCAGAAGCAACTCTCTGGTCCGGAGATGGTGCCTGTGCCCCCTGCTCCGCGATTCGAGTTCAGCCTGAGTTTCTGTGTAAATGCCGGGGAGGAATGTGACCGTGAGTGAGATGGGCTTCCAAGCTGCTCCCCACGGCGGGGCAGAGCAGGCCGCAGGTGCCCACTCGCTCCTCTTTGGTGGGCTTCCGAGGCGGACTGCTCGGCAAGGGGCCTCTTGTTCACACAGGTTGTCCTTTGACAAGGACGCCATGGTGGCCCGAGCCCGGCGTCTCATCGAACTCTACAAGGAAGCCGGGATCAGCAAGGACCGGATCCTTATAAAGCTCTCATCCACCTGGGAAGGAATTCAGGCTGGAAAGTAAGGATCCCCTGTGAGAAGGGGTCTGGTGGGGGCTCTGCTTCCATTCCGGGGCTGGGGGCTGCGCAGCTGTGGGCACGTTCGACCCTCAGTCCAGAGAGGGTCAGCGTGGGGGGCCAGGTCACCACTATCCAGAGAAAAACCAGGCCTCTGGGGGATCCCCAGTCTCCCGTCCCCCGTCTGTATCAGTTATAAAAACCAGCCTGTTGAACCAAACGTGCGGAGCGGGAGAGACCGGAGACTTCCTCCGTGTGTTCTTGCCCAGAGACCACTGACACCTGGACAGCGGTTGGCGAGGGCGTCTCCTCACACGTGCTCGGACCGTCTGTTCACTTGGCCCACTTAGCACCTGCAGCCACTCATCCACCTTCTGTTTCTCTGGCTTTGCTGGTCTGCTTCTTTCACGTCAGTAGGATCTCCTGACATGGGGCCTTTTGTGTCTGGCTTCCCTCACGTGGTGGCGCGTTCAGGGCTGCATCCCTGCTAAGGCTAATGTTCCAGTGGGTCCACACCACACTTTGTGTGTCCACTCACTGTTCCGTGGACACATGGTTATTTCCGCCTTCGGGGCCGTCACGAGTAGTGCTGCTGTGCACATTCGTGCACGGGTTCGGACACACGTGTTCTCTCCCATGGCACCTCCGTGGGAGGGGGGCTGCTGCGTGGAACAGTCCCTCCGTGCTGGGCCGCTCCATGGGCAGCCCGCAGTTCCCACCGGTGCCGTCTGCAGCCCTTCTTCCCTTTTCCGTTTACTCAGATAGTTTTTATTTTTATTTATTTATTTTTTTAATTATTTTTTTTAAAAGATTTTATTTATTTATTTGAGAGAGAGAGCATGAGAGAGGGGAGGGCAGAGGGGGAAGCAGACCCCCCTGCCGAGCAGGGAGCCCGATGCGGGACTCGATCCAGGGACTCCAGGATCATGACCTGAGCCGAAGGCAGTCGCTTAACCAACTGAGCCACCCAGGCGCCCAGTTTTTATTTTTGTCAGTAGTGATTGGAAAAATGTTCTGAGACTTCTAGAAATTATTCCTGACACCAAGTCAGCCGGTCCCGCTCACCAGCGCCCTTTCCCCAGAGCCCTCTGGCAGCTGGTCACACCAGCAACAATCTCCTAAGTCCTTGAGCGGGCAAATCAGAGTAGCGCAGCCAAGCTCAAGAGAAACTGCCGATAAAACAGAAACTTAGAGGAGGCTGCAAATGCCAAGGTCTCAGGCATCGGCGCCCGTGGTCACTCACGCTGCTAAACTGAGGTCCAGATCAGAGCGGGCGGAGCATGTCCGAGCAGCTCCCGGGGCCGTGGCCACACAGTTTCATAAGGCTGCAAACGTCCCTGCAGCAGGGTCAACACGAGCGTGCTTCGGCCTGCGAGGTGGAGTGGGGCGGGAAGGGTGGCTGGGGACACGTCCCTGCTTGGCGGCGTGGCTAAGCGGCGCCCGGGGTCGCAGGAGCTCACGGCGGGAGTCACGGCGGCGCAGGGCTGGCTGCTTCCAGATGAGCTCTAAGCTCTCTGCAGGGGTTGCTCGCGGCCAGATCCGTCTCACGGCTTGCGCAGCTTTGTCTCACGACATCCCGGTGCTGAAGGTGGACGGACGGTCTTGTCCTGGGTGAATCTCCCCTCCTAGGCTGTTTTCCCCAGTCTGTCTTCCGTCTCACGCTTTTGGTAAAGTCACCTTCCCGGAGCGCCCCATTCGCCGCTTCCGAAAATGCACGGCGTTTCGCCAGGCAGGTCAGACCAGCACAGCTGCTGGGTCTCGTCGAGGCCTCCCACGGGCCAGCCGGAGCTGCGGGCACCTACACCGGGCACGCAGGCCCTGGGAGAGGCTGGCCCCTGCAGGGCTCCCGGGCCAGTGCCACCGCCGCCTCCGAGGCCTCGTTCTCTGCAGCCACACTTTGTGAACACCGCCGGGTGGCACAGGCCACAGGCCCCTCTGAAGCTGTCCCGGGGGGAGAAACACGGCCAGAGGGGCCTGAGCACAGGCTCAGCCGTCACGGCCCACTCCCCGGCACGTGACTGTGTGGGCACTGCCCTCCCCTCAGGGCTCAACCCCAGGATGTCCGGTGGACTGGGGGGCGGGCGGGGGGCTGCAGGTGCGGGTGGGACAGAGGGCAGGGCGGCACTGCGGTCAGCGGGGACTCCGCGGTCTCCGGCCCCGGCAAGCTCTGCGGTGAGCCAGGGGCCCAGGTGCGGGTGCCCGTCTCCGGGCCAGGGAGACCCACTGTGGCTCTCGGGGGGCCTCTCTTGCCGTTGTCCCTGTTTGTAAACGTGGGTTTGATGGAGAAAATTCCGGTCACCGTAGCCCACCGGGCAGAGGGCCCCCTGGTGAGCGTTGCGCCTGTGCTGTGGGGGGGGGGGGGGGGGGGGGGCGGCCCGGCTGTGGGGAGGCACTCCTGAGCAGCTTCCCCACCGAACGGGGGCGCTGTCTGGCTGTGCCCACGGGAGCGCCCATGCCGCCTGTGGACCCACAGGCCCGGCCTTGCTCAGCCTGCCCTGTCCCCCCAGGGAGCTGGAGGAGCGGCACGGCATCCACTGCAACATGACGCTGCTCTTCTCCTTCGCCCAGGCCGTGGCCTGCGCCGAGGCCGGAGTGACACTCATCTCCCCCTTTGTGGGGCGCATCCTCGACTGGCATGTGGCCAACACAGACAAGAAATCCTACGAGCCCCTGGAGGACCCTGGTGAGTAGCCCGTTGAAGGAACGGGGTGAGGGGCTCTGCTGGGTGGAGGGGACACAGCGGTGGCAGCTCTGGGCCGTGCTGTGGGCGGGCACCGCTGTCGGCGTCCTGGAGGCCGTTCAGGAACGCAGCGTGTCGCCCCAGGAGTGAAGAGCGTCACCAAGATCTACAACTATTACAAGAAGTTTGACTACAAGACCATCGTCATGGGCGCCTCCTTCCGCAACACCGGCGAGATCAAAGCGCTGGCAGGCTGCGACTTCCTCACCATCTCGCCCAAGCTCCTGGGGGAGCTGCTCAAGGACAACAGCAAGCTGGCCCCTGTGCTGTCGGTCAAGGCAGGTAAGCCCTCTGGCCCTTGGCTTGCGGCCGCCTTCACCCTGCTCGCCTTCACCCTGCTCTCCGAGGGCATAGGCGATGGACTGGCCTGAGGCAGCCTGGGTCCCGCCCATCGCGGGAGCCCCGCTGGGGCCCTGCGGAGAAGAGATGCCCGGCAGCACCAACCCCAAGGGGGTGGGATGGGCGGGGCTGCAGGCGGGGGAAGGGCGGCTGTGGGAGGCCCCAGTGCCTGTCCTCCCCAGCCCAGGCCAGCAACCTGGAGAAGATTCACCTGGATGAAAAGGCCTTCCGCTGGCTGCACAACGAGGACCAGATGGCCGTGGAGAAGCTCTCGGACGGGATCCGGAAGTTTGCTGTGGATGCTGTGAAGCTCGAGCGGATGCTGATGGTGAGTGCCCCAGGCTCGGGGGCGGAGCTGGAAGGTTCTGGGGGACTGGGGGTGTCGGCTCCCCTGGCCGCCTGGACTCTGCCCCACAGGTTCCGGGCCAGCCGCTGGTGGGCACCCTTGTAAGGAGGCCATGACTCCCCGTCCGTGGCAGCCCCGACCATGGGCCTTACCCCTTCCTGCGCAGGAGGCAGGGGTGCGGGGCAAGTGGGCAAGTTTCCTGGCATCTCTCACGCTCTCCCTTCTAGGATCGCATGTTCAGCACCGAGAACGGAAAATAGCACCATGCCTGAGCCGGACCACAGACCTGTGCCCTCTGAGTTGGGGCTGACTGCACATGCCATGTGATGAATTTTGCATTTTTTACCAATTGGGGCAGGGATGGATCATAGATTCTATGTAAAATTTTGCCTAAGTAATTAAAGCAGTCACTTTTCTTGTGCTACATTGCTTTTTCTGGCTCCAGTCCCTTTCCCCTCGGCACCAGCTGCCCCAGGCTTTGGCTCCAACGTGGCTCCAGCTGGGGTGACACAGCCAGGGACGGTCCCGCACCTCAGCCATGAGCCTCTGCTGGGCAGCAAGCCCGGAGCCTGGGAGGCCTTGGACTTTGGTAGTGGGCAGGGGGTCCCAGGGGCTCCAGCCAGGCCGCCCTGGTGCTCAGCTCCTGTGTGGAGCAGTGGTGCCACCTTGTGGGGACGGTTTGGTGTGCACGGGCTCTGGAGCAGCTTCTGCTCGTGACCTGCTGCAGGGGGAAGGGCTTGGTGGGGGCAGCCACGGCTGTCCCTGGGGTAGCCCCGCCCACTCCCACCCCCCAACCCCCAGGACCAGCCTGTTCTTGGAACAGAGCAGAACAGGCACAGCCTGCAGGGATGGAGGAGGCCGGGGCGGCCACCTCAGGTCTGCAGGCAGAGACAGGTGGCAGGGCCAGGCCTGGTCAGACACTGCCCTGGGTACCACTAAGGGACTGCTCTGCACAGCTTTCTGCAGGGATGCCAGGAGCATCCTGTGTCGGGGTCAGAGCACCCAGGCTGGCGGCTGGTTCTGGAGCAGCCCCCTTGGCCACCTCCCCAAGGGCAGGAACAGCACAGCACACACAGTGCCGGGCCCTGGGGAGAGGACCCACGGAGGGCGCACAAGCCTGGCCCCAGCAGGTCCAGCCTATGCTGAGAGCGCCCCCCTAGGGTGTGCAGGAGGCAGCTGGGTGTCCGAGTGCTGGGCAGGGCCTTGCGCCCGTCTGGCTGTGTCCCAGCCCTCGGCGGACGGGCAGGTGGCGGCCAGCTGGTCAACAGACTGCACCCCAGGATGTGTGCACGCATGTGACTGGACGCAGCTAAAACACATCAAGCCCACCCACCCACTCACATGTACAAGCTGTGGATTTTAACAGAGACCTGCAGACCACAGAGACTGGCTGTTGGGTGTAAAGATGTTACCGTCTGAAGCAGTCTCTACACCCCACGTGGGGCACAAATCCACCCCAAGGCGGAGTTGCGTGCTCGCCGACTGAGCCGGCCGGGCGCCCCGACCCCCTAGCCTTAGAACATTCTCATCACCCTGAAAGGAGGCGTCCTGTTCATTTTCACCCCCTGCCCCTTGACTACTTCTACTGGATTTTCTGGCTATTTCATGTAAATGGACTCACACACACTCTTGAGGTCTGGCTTCTTTGCAGGACGCAGTCAAGATTCAGTCTGTGCAATGTTATCAGGACTTTATTCCTTTTCCTGGCCAAATCACGTTCCGCCACATGGACATTAGCATTGTCTGGTAAAGAACACCAGGGGAACTACAATTTGCTTAAAGCGTTTGTTACTGTGGGTGATGCCGCGACATTCGGGCGTCACTTCTGTGGGGCTGTCAGTTATTTCTGGTGGGCGGACGGCACGTGGGGACATCCCAGAACAGCAGCCAGCCTGGGGTGTCTGCACCCTCTCTAAGCCTGGAGGCTGCCCCAGCCCTGCACCCCGCACCCGGCAAAGCCAGGAGCGAGCCGCCGCGGCCACCCAGGGCACAGGGCTGTGTGGGGTGCCCGCCCCACACCCTGATGTGGAACCCAGGAGTAGTCTGGCCGATCTCGGCAAGTGTTATTAGCTCTTCGCAGATCACACAGATGGAGCCCAGAAGGCGTGATCTTTAAAAAAGCTTTTGTCCAGAGACGTCGATCACCCTGTGGCGATAACTGAGGCACAGAGTAGGACCCAGGCCTCTCGATGGAGCTGGCCAGCCTGGCCATGGCGTCAGGAGCTCCTGATACAGTCCCCCCCAGAAAACATCCAACAGAGGAGAGGGTGGGAGCATCTCCGCACACTCTATGGTGGCGGAAGCGACCTGGGACTCGGGGGGTGCCTCGCCTCCTTCCTCCTCCTCTGTTCTGAGGGATTGGATACAGCAGAGCCAGACAAGCCAAGTCTGGGCGGGAAACAAGCAAAGGTGGGACCCACAAGAGGAACTGCCCAGCTCCCGGAGGCCCCATCCAAGGGCCACGGCCCAGGCTGGCCCCCGAGACCAGAGGGTGATCTGGCCGTGCCAGGAAGGAGCATCCCCAGCACAGGCCTGTCGGGGCCTGGGTGGTGGGGACCGACCGGCACCCCACATGTAGCCCCAGGGTGGTTGCTCCCCAGGCCTCTTGCCCAGTAGGGTCTGTGCTTTGGTCACGTCTACCTCGAAAGCCCTGGAGCAGCTACAAACCCACAGGCCACGCAGGCAGGGCCATGGGTGAGCAGCGCGGCTTCCTGAAGACCCGATTAAACGCGTCTCTCTCAACATCAGAAGCGATGGCCTCACGTGGTGTCACCATCACACTCGAAACCACACACCAAACAAGGATTAAAATTAGGGCAGCTCCTTCAGCACCGGAAGGTCTGGTGCCGGTCTGGGGGCTGGGAGCTTGCGTCCACCACAAGCCGCGCCCCCCCTGCCCCCCCGCCCCTGCCTTGGGCAAGTGGAAAGTGCTGAGCCAGCTCCAGCCTGCCGGACCACGGCTCCCCCCACACCCAGAGGAATGGGGGGCAGCACAGAGGCCTGGGCAGTCCTCAACGCACAAAATGGGATCCTGGTGCCGCCAGAGAGGCTCAGCCTGGGTGGCCAGGGACAGGCAGAGGGGAGGGGCCAGCCGGCAGTGCGCGGGAAGACCACGGGGGCCAAGACCCACACCAGGACCCCCCTGGCCGACTCACTCGGACCAGCTCTCCGTGCTAAGCTCACGTGGAATTCTCAGCGACCACCTGATGGCCCTGAGCCCCCCAGCTGTGTCCCAAGGAGAGCAAATGGCCTGGGGGTTGGGAGGTCGACCCCTCCGCCAGAGGGGACACTCTGCAGGGCTGATTCTCGGGGGCCTCCAACAATCCCACCGGGTCAGGTTGGGGTGTCTGAAAGTCACTCTCCAGGGCTGTCACGGAGACGGGGCCCCTGGACGCCTGGGGAATCCAGCCATCTCCAGGGACGCCTGGGCGGTCTGGAGGCGGCGGCGTCCACTGGCGGGCGGGAAGCCATCTCACTTCCTGCAGGACGGGTCAGGTCAAGGCCCAGGCTCCCGCAAAGGGCTGGTCAGCAGCCCACATCCCGCCCGCCACCCCGTCCACGGCTCCTCACCGGCTGCCGCAGAGAAAGAGCAGGCTGTGCATGGCTGGGACGGTGGAGCCGGCGTTCTGGCCTGTGACAAGGTGGCGGTCCAGCACCACGTGCACGGCGTCGGGCTCACTGGCTGCGGGAGGTCCCGAGGGTGCGGGCCTCAGATGGGGTCACGGGCCAGGCACGCCCTGACAACCAGCCCCCATTCCCTCCCAGGGACCCCCAGAGCCCTAGGCAGCCTGTCTGGGTCTGAGCTGCAGCCCCTGGCCGGGTCCCCCACCCCCCGCTCACCACTGAAGCTGGCGCCCGCGTCCTTCACAAAGTCCTCCACGATGAGGGGCAGGCGGGCAAAGCCAGGCGCCCTGACGAGCTCATACACGGAGGGCTGTGGGGGACAGGGGTTCCCGCCCCCACGTCAGGGCACCATGGCCTCCACGGTCGCCCCTCCCCTGGCATCAGGGCCAGTGAGCGAGCCCGGCAGGTGGCCTCAGGGCCGAGACCCCCAGTGGGCGATGGGCAGAAGAGCAAGGCACAGAGTCCCAGGAGGGGGGTGGTGTGGCTACAGCCACACTGAGGTCGTGCCCCTGAGGCTCTCCTCCCCACCCCCAACCTGCCCCCTGCACCACCCGCCAGGCTGGCCCCATGCAGCCCCAAGTCCTCGCAGTTTAGACCCTCCCTCCGGCCCCCTATCCAGCTAGGCCCTCTCCCCAACTCCAGGCCCTGCATCCAACCTTCCTGGCCCCGAAGGGTGTCGTGCACATGACACGCACAAAAGTCACGTCTCAACCCGACCCCAGCTCCTTCCCAGGGACCACGATGTTGCCTCCTACCCCACCAAGAGCCCCCCCAGTGCTTCCCTCCCCACATCCAGAGCACGGGCCGGGCCTTGGGGGCCATCCTGGATGTCAGCAGGGGAGGGGAGGGGAGAGCACAACTGTTGGCCTGGGGCCGGCATTCTCCATGATCCTGGTCTGGGCAAGTGACCGTCACCCCTGCCAGAGGGGACACTCCCTGAGCTTTCAAGCACATCGCAGGTCTCTGACGCCTGTCTACAGCCTGGGACCCTCCCCTGCATGACACTCACCCCCGTGACGCTGTAACCTTGGAAGACCCAGGATCGGTCCTCGTTGGTGGCACAGCACAGGGCGGCGACGCCATGGCCCACCGCGCAGATGGGCTCTGGAAGCACAGGCAGGGCTGAGGCCCTGGACGCCTCCGGGGCCCCTGCCCCTCTCCCGCCACCTCCCGCCTCAGAGCTCCCCCGCACACGGTCAGCTCCAGGACGAGGCTCACAGCCGTTGCAAAGTTTTGGCGGCCGAAACACAGGCACAAGCAGTCACGAGGCTGCGGCAGGCCCAGTGACCAAGCCCTGGAGCGTGCCGCCCCCACAGACCGTGGCGTGGCCTGCAGTGCTGCAAACGTCCCAGCACACGGCCTGCACCAGCACGCGTGCCGCCTGCCTGGGACACCCTCCCGTCGCTCCCCGTCCTTCCACTGCCCTACCATTCCCACGGTGGCGGCGGCGGCCGGGAACAATGACTCTCTGTCCAGACCGTGCTGGAAACGGAGGCCCTGTTCCCACTAACAAAAGACACTGTGTGGAGCCCCCGGGTTTCTGTCCGTTGGTCCCTAATGAGCATCTTGTCCCCATCCCGCCAACGTGCCCGGCACAGCCCAAAGTCAGGCCCGGGCAGCACGCCACATCTCCACGGCCCCTGCTGGCCTCAAACCCTGAAGCCCACGAAGAACAAGCCAGCACGTTGCCCGCCCACCTCAGAGGAAGTTGGGGGGTGGGCAGCCACCAGCCCCCATGGAAGGCGGGCAGAGCGTACCCAGGGTAGCGACCTGAGGGGCGCCCCACCTCGAATGTGTGCA